ACATACACAAACACATATCCATATATTATTTATAATAGTTCAGAGAGTAGTGCTCACTAAACAGCGTCATAAAGTCCAAAGAACACATCTGACAGGTCAAGTATGCGAGTATGTACGCACAACTGCAAACCAACCAAAACATGGCCATCCCCCAAATTAATGAGCTGAACAGGGAGTGAACTAATCAGAGATGTTATCAAGCGGCCCATAGGGAAAATATTGGCTGCGTACTGTGGTCATTATGAATGATAGGCTAATATAAGGTCACAAAAAGCCAAGCCAAAGTACTTTAAAAACAAATAATTAAATTTCCTGAAAGCAAAACACTATGTGCTGTGTAAAACTAAACATTCCCACTGTAAAACCTGATGGTGGTGACAGCGCTGCTTTTCTTCAGCAGGGACAGGGACGTGTCACGAGTTTGTAAAAGACTTGAGGCTGAGGTGGAGATACATAAATGTAATGTATATATATTAGGGCTGTCAAAATTATTGCGTTAACGCTCGTTTATGATTTTTTTTTCATGAATCACGTTAAAGAAATTAACACATTTAACGCATGTCCGAATGACCCGCCCATGCATCCCATAATAACACTCAGAGCAGGTAGGCCATCTGGGAGTTCAAGTTGAAAAAGAGTACGCAAGTGGCTGCAGGGCACTTGCTGCTGTGTGAACTCGAACGGGAGTCTGCATCCTCCATGGCCGCAACGTTCTGAACCGGGGCATCTGCAGCCGCTCTGAACTGCGGTTCCCACCTCCAGCGGCTGTGAGCAATTTTGACAACAAGACGGCAAATGGCGCCGCCATAACGTCACGTGCACAAGACTATTCTCTGCTTGTTGTCTTTGCGTAACCTGTGCAGCAATAAATACACAGCTGAAGCTGACTACGGAGCCTCAGTCTCCTCCGTCTCTTCTCCCGAAGCGCACTCACTAAACTAAAGCTGGGGTACCTAATTTTTCCCTTGCACAACCAGTTCATGTTGGTTGGTCTGAGTCTAAACAGAAAGACAGAATTTTAATAATGTTAAGGCCGTTTTATGTGGATTTATTGTCGTTATCATAAACAAATACAGTACATATGTTCACTATATTGTCATTTATCTTTCCATTCAAACAACCATTTACAGACAATATGGCATATAATTTTACCGATGGTTAGAAATGCAATTAATTATGATGAATTCATTATTAAGCTGTAATTAACTCGATTAAAAATGTTGAGTGTTTGACAGCCCTAATATATATATATATATATATATATATATATATATATATATATATATATATATATGTATAATTTTAAAAATGGAAATAGAATGGATCGTTTTACAAATTAACAACCTATTGCTGGAAGATTCCGGGGGAAAACCGAGGACACTGCTGGCCTGAACTCTGTGGAATTCCCCTGGACCTTTTGAATATTGGGTCTGGTGATTAAAAAAATAAATATTATTATATATATTATTTTGGACCTTTGGATCTATTTTGTATTTTTCTTAGAACTTGAAATAATTTATGTGTGTAGAAAATAAAAAAACAGCTGCAGACGGACACATTTAAAAAAAAAAAAAACAGTGGGAAGTGGATATTACGACCCCAAAGGCAATCCATTTACACACATATACATGCCTCCAAGCAAGCACAGAGTTATACATTCATTTGATTTAAGAAATGCACAGAAAGGTAAAAGCAGATCTTTGATGTAACAAATGGGAGAGATTCAAGACGAGGTATTTGTGGAGGGGGTGCACACGTCAACCTTTAAGGGCTGTTTTCCTTAATGGGATTGTTTCCTGTGAACATTGTTTAATGTTTAATTGTTCGTCATTTTTGACCAATGACTTTTATTCATTTGATTTTCTTAACTTGACCATTCAAGTTAACTTCACTCTTAACTATTGTTAAAATGATTTCTGATGCATTTCCTGGAAAAGTCTGATCAGATTTTAAGATCTGGATTTGATTTTGTAGCTTGTGCTCAAGTATGAAGTGACAAGTGTTCACAGTTACATCCAGCCAGTTCCACATTGACTCGACTTGTGCCTCATGGACAAACTCATATTCTGTTATCCTTCATTCATCTTCAACCCCGAATTCTGCAGTCTATGTTTCTTGATGAAATAACAGAAGCTGTAATTCTGGACATTGTTCGAAAATGCAAAAATAAAACTTCTAGTGATAGTGATGGGATAGACATGAGCATTGTAAAAAGGACAATAGATTGCCTACTTAAACCTTTGAGCTATACATTTAACCTTTCTCTCCGTACAGGTGTTTTCCCACAAAACATGAAGACAGCTAAGATAATACCTATTTTCAAAAACGGCGACCGTTTAACAAATTTAACGGCCATCCATCCATCAAATTTAACAATTACAGACCCATTTCACTACTCCCACAGTTTTCAAAAATATTAGAAAAATGGTTTACTCACAAGCTAGATTTATTTTTGGAAAAAAAAAAAGTACTCTTTGATTATCAATACGGGTTCAGATCTCAAAGATCAACATCTACTGCACTCATTTACTTAACAGAAAAAATACTTGAGGCTATTGATACAAAATAATATTTTGTAAGCGTCTTTTTGGACTTAGAAAAGGCGTTTGATGCAGTCAATCACAACCTACTGTTAGCAAAATTACAAAACTACGGAATTAGGGTCAGATCCATAAATGGCTTGAAAGTTATTTAACCAATAGACAGCAATTTGAAATTTACGAGGCTTCTAAAGATCTAAATTTGTTGTTATTTGCTGATGATACCACAGTATTTAATACAGGGAAGGATCTAAATGAATTAATGGAAAACATTGAAGGAGAAATGGTCAAATTAAAGCAGTGGTTCGATTACAATAAATTATTTTTAAACTGGGATAAAACTTGTTACATGATTTTTGGGAAAAAAACCCCACAATTATCCCCCAATTATCAGTCCAATTGATAATTGATAATGTAAACATTGAGTGTGTTTCAGAAGTCAAATTTTTGGGGGTAATCCAAATCCAAACTCTGTTGGAAGTCACATTACATCAGAAAAAAAGTAAGTAAAAGTATTGGCATATTGTAGAAGGTCAGACATATTCTAGACAAGACTTCATTGATGTCGTTATATACAACTTTAATTGTTCCTTATTTTACCTATTGCATCGAAGTTTGGGGAAATGTATTATGGCCACAGAAAAGTTATGTCTACTTCAAAAGAAAGCCGTAAGAATCATCTGCCACAAAGGCCCTACCACACAAATAATATCTTCACACAATTACAACTCCTGAAATTCAAAGATATTGTTCACTTCAAAATTATTCAAACAATGTGGAGGATGAAGAACAAGATGGTGCCTGTGCACATCCATAATAACTTCTTTTTAATCACAGAAGTACAGTAGTAACAGAAGGAAAGGATATTTTTGTGTGCCTTTTTCACGCACCACTTTAAAACAGAAAGGTTTCCTTGCAACAGGTATTGAGCTTTGGAACTCTCTGGATCCTTGTGAACAATCCTGTAGCACCATTGTACAGATGAAGAAAATGTATAAGAAAAAAGTACTTGCAAGTTATGGTAAATGATTGGTTGTTCAAAATCCTACAAAATAGTGGTAAACACAATAAAATCCACAATAACTACAGCAAAGTGTAAGATTGCTATGTGTAAAGGAAAAAAAAAAAATAATAATAAAAATAATAATAATAATAAACATATAAAGGCGAGCCATCCTATTTTTAAACTCTGTCAACTAAATATGTGTTAAGGGGCATGAAACCACGTGCTCCTATTCAGCAACATGTAATGGAATTGAATTATTTGTGTTCTTATTATTTTCATTATGATTTTTAATAATGAATGCCTGAATAAAAAAAACAAAACCTTAGTCCGTTAATGAGTCTCTGGGTCAGAGCACCAGCGCCTCTCCAGATGACTGTTATCGTATTATTCTTATTTTGGAGCTTAGGAAAAGTGTTCTTGTTTTCACATGTGTCTTTCTTGACAAATATCTGGAAACGACAGCAGGTCCTACGTAGCTCTGAAACATTTGTTGTTTTGTGCTTTACAATTGTTATTTTTCTTGTCTTTTAATTTTCAACCTGTAAATGTTGCTGCAGTACATTGTTCAGGGTTTAACACTGGTCCAGACCAGAGCAGAGAGGATTCACGGTTCGAACAGTGGGGGAGGGTCCCAGCTCAAAAGTGGCCAAAATGACGTGCGCTGACATGCTTGCAATACCACCCCGGGCCGATGGGGGTGGACCCAGAAGAAGAATTAGCCAATGCTAACATATATCATTGGCAGACCTCTCAAAAACGTCTTTACAGGATGGTCCAAAAGTTGGCTCTTGGCCCAAAGCTCCGTTCCACATGTGTGTCAATGCTGAGGGGGGTGGATTTTTTGGTCCACTCTAGTTTACTTGCTGTGAATTTTTGAAGTCTCTCGTTCAAATGAATGGAGTTGCACCGGCTGACGCATGCGCAAATGCGTTTTTTCACAATTTTCTTGTGGCCGGGACCACTCGCGGCCATTTTGGATTGCTCCAGTAGAGCACATTTTTTGGCCCATTAGTTAGAACGGCGGAGGTAGGCGTGACTCTGTCCGTTAATATATACAGTCTATGGGTTCGAACCGAGCAGATCAAGCAGAAATTCACTGGAGGAATGCTGACTTTTTTGAAAAATGATAATAACGGATTCAGCATTTTACTCTGGACTAGAGCAGAGAAAATGACCTGAACCAAGCAGCTACACCACCTCGGCTGCTGTGACCTGCTCCACCCAGAGGCTACACCACCTCTGTGGTTTTGCATTGGATAACTATTGTTAGCTACTTTAAGAAGTATGTATTTATCTGTTTTGTTTGTGTGGATGGCTGTGTTTCTGCTGTTACTGGACACCTGAATTTCTCCTATGGGGATAAATGAAGTATCTATCTATGAATCTATCTATCTATCACAATGAATCAAAAGGCTGAACACACTTGATCTGCAACTACATGGGGTCTTTCTTACCTGCGAGAGGCCCAGGTAGATGGAAACAGTCTCTGAGATGTAAAGGAAACGTCCCTCCTGGCTGACCACAAATACAAAGCCGTCCAGAGACTGTATTCGCACACGCACAGGCGCCGGCGCAAAGGCAAACAGAAACAAGACAGACAAATTAGAGCAATTAGTGTGTATCGAACAAATTACAATGAGCCAGAGAACAAACATGGCGTCACCCCTCGGCCTCCCCTCTCAATTCACAAGTGCATTCCACCCCCCTCTCCTGCGCTCTCATATGCATAAACAGACAAGTCCCATTGACGCAGACTTCTTTTACAACAGCTGTTTAGAAGCACTGTCTATAATGCCAAAAATAAAACAAATGGCAAAGTATGTAAGAAAGGGCGGTCCATAGCCCAGAGCTGTTTCAATCAGTAGTAATAAACTGGAGCCTAGACATACACAGACTTCCAGACACTGGTTTGGACCAAAGTCATTACTGCCCACACTGATTCTAATGAGAAGTGAAAGGTATACAGCCAGCCCATTAGAACAGAACTGCATCAGAGAATAATATTAATCGTCATAACAAGCGTACACATACACACGGCAGTGATGGCCACTTCCGTCCGGAGAATGATTGCTATTTTGGTGCTTAAAATGGTATTGGTAATTTATGCCACTGACACATCCAGTATGCAAATGAGTGGCCGTGGTCTGGGTGTCGTGCATGTGTCGCGTTGTGATGGGGGGAAACCAGCCCAGCCTGAGCGTCGGAGAACTAAAGTGCAATTATCAGGCTATTACAGAGGCAGGCGGTTGGGAGGGAATCATACAGTTTTTGTGGAGCGTTAATTTGATTTCTATCTGCGCAGTCGTCCTTAAGTCTCTCCTGTCCTCTTTGAGTGTGTCGAAACAGCAGACACGTCAAAGGTATTGAGGTTTACATTTTTTCCATTTATTTTCATTTTGTATGATATTGACAGTAGTACATTTATGAGCATCTGTAGATACAGTGTAAATATGTCAGAACATAGCTGAAGAAGCCATTTTACCGCCATATTGATTTAAAACTCGTTTATACAAGAAACTAGACTATTGACTCTCTCCTTTGTGGCATTTCATAACAATAAGCAATGGATAATTATTATATGATTAATTTCTATTGTTAAAAGGTATATCTATGTGCCTTTTTAGCCCTGTATTCACAAAAGAGTCTGAATGAAGAGACATTTTTTCACTCAATCCATAAACTAATCTAAGTACAATGCTATTTCAGAATATGAGGGAACACATTGTTAAAAGTTTATTAATGTGGCATTGTTGTTTTTTAACATGATGTTGCTGTTTGGCCAATCAAAAAGGCAATCATCCTTTTTTTCTTTTTATTCAATTTTTTATTTTTTACATGCCCTGCAGCCGTTCCTCTTCCAGAACCCCTTCAGAATATATTTATCTGTCAGAGGAGGAGGATGAATTCTTTGGCAGCCAACAATATGACACAGTCTGACATTTATTAGAATCCAGGAGTCTGACCAAGAAGTAAAGGAAACAAACAAAAGCTGAAGCTGTGTTGAAACACCAGCCTTACTACAATAGCAAACAAGTTAAATACATTTTATTGTGAAATAAATAATGGCCAGTTTACCTGAAGGAGGTGTGCTCCTAAGTGCTGCTCAAACATGTCAGTGGACAAAGAATGAGATGACCGTCGTACTGTGGAGAAAGCAAACAAAACACGATTACGTTCAATAATATAGTGTAGCATCTACAATAGTTGTATAAAATCTGATGTATCAAGAACATTTTAGTATATGCTGTACCATTAGAAAGCTGAACTGAATTTAAGTTTTACACAAAATAATTGCACCTGGTTCCTTGGGTACAATTTAATATTTTAGAAGAGATTGGATATTTGGGTATGAAGAGTACGTTTAGAAAGACCTGCACATGTCTGAATAACGTTAACTTTATCTTGGCTTTGGTGATAAACAGCCAAATACGCAAATAAACAGTTTGTGTGAAAAAATAAGCATAAGGAGCAGGCTAGGTGACGCACAGTGCTCAATCTTCAACAGACACACAAGCACACGCAAACACACACACACGCACACATACACGCACACTGCATCGAGCGTCTGCATCGCCACTCTTAATGCATCCCAAACACAAGCTATCAGAGCTGCTTCAGTGCCAAAGTGGTGCTGTTTACCAAGGCAATTACAATACAAATAGAGTTGGAGGTGGTTAGGTAGGAGAGAAGGGGGGTTAGGTGTGTGAAGAGCAGAAAGGGTAAGCTAGGGAAAATGAGAAAACACTAAGGAAGGCGAGAGTGATCACTTTCTTCAAGCCAAGGGGAGGACGCTGACGTGGAAGATTAATTTAGCAATCAGCCGTACTTACTGTTTTATGTCAAAAAGAATATGTGACACTATATGTGCTACATATGAGAGAACTAATCTCTCTCCACCAGGACTCTTTTTAATCCAATGTAACCCATGCAGAGACAAACTATATGTTTGGATTCCCTGTACATGCGCGTGTGTGACTTTAGGATCCTCAGATATCTGCAGGTGTGTGCGTGTATGAGTGTGTATGTGTCGCTGCAAGGCTGAGGGAAATCAATACACGTTATGACAGGAAAATGAAAGCGCTGCTCTGGGTTACAACTGAACACAGAGGTAGGGTCCACACAGACGGGCTCCACGCACACATGGTGATATATATTTATATATATATTTATATATTTATATATATATTTATATATAGACGGCCGGGCCGCATGCCTGTGATGTGTGTACGCTGAATAGAAAAGGGAGGCATTCCATTAGCGCACACACCACACACATGCACAATCCCGCGCACACACACACACACAACACACCCAACACACACACACTTTAAGAAAACACACAGCAATGAATTCTCATGCACAGACTTCACAGTGGCAACATGCCCCCGATTAAACAACACACACACATAAATACAGAGCTGCTGGACAAAGCCACTGTGGCATTGTGAGATTGGGGTCCCCCTGTGTGACAGAGTGTGAATATAAATAAGGCCAGTCCATTCAGGCCTATGAAAGAGGCTCTGGTGCTGGGACCCTTCAGCTTTAGCCAGTTGCTGCCCGGAGGCGGGGGAGGGGAACCCTTCTCTGCTGTCTGTCCACTCCCTGCGGACCAGGGGGTACACCACATCTCTACCCCCTCACAGGCATATGAGGATGCAAGTTTGTGCATATTCCTCCCTAAAGGAGCCTGCCTCAGAGTGTGAAGTTCCCCTGGAGGAGCTGAGGTGATGCTGGGCGATCAGTAGCGCTGAGGAGTGTCACGCTGGGGATGACATGAAGCCAGGGAGGGCTGACGGATGAGTCTACACGCACACACACAAATACACAGAGGACCATTTATTAAAGACTGTCAGGGTACAATAGGGCAGGCCAGGAAACCAAAACACTGGACCTGTGTGCGTGTGCACGGATGTGTGCATGTGAGAAAGAGCCTCACACTACCAGAACAAAGATCCCTCTGTAGTCCGACTGTGAACCTCCGCTCGGTTTGTTAGGTGTGAAGCTATGGGCACCTTCACTTCATTCTGCACATAAGATTTTCCCTCAAACAAATTAGTCAGTCTCCAGTGGTTCTAAAACAGTGCTTTTATACGAGGATCAGCTCGAAAGAGTCAACATTTGTGGATTGAAATATAAAAGTATTCTATAAATTTTTTAACTGCAGAGTTACCACCCCAATGATCTTAAGTATTGTCCAAGGTACCACAGTTAGAGAAAAGCTGAGATATAATACCTTTAGACAGTAAAAGTATATTTTTATGTAAATACTGGGAACTATTGGGGCTCTTGAGAGATTGCAGGTACATAAGATTCAGAGGAGAGATGTGTCTGTGCGGCAGATACTGCTTACATAATAAGTTCAGCTTTGATCACAATCTGTCAGCAGGTAACAGCGTGATCAGGACCAAGGCCAGAGGCACCAAAATCCAGTCTCTAGTTTTAGGTGCTAAACTCAGTTTACAGAGTAGTGGGTGAATATGACAAACATGGTACTTTTATTTAAAGGGTACAATTCTCACCATGTCTTAAACAAACTTTCAGCAGGCTTAAAACCAAAAAGCTCCTGCTGCAGAGGGGAATTGAGTGCAGCTGAGATCTTGGTTGCTCTTTTCTTTCAAATTCCCACTTCATTAGCTTCCTGGGACTCGCTGCAAGGTTTAATTTCATTGAGGGAATAGGAGAGCGGACGGGACAGGGTGTGATCAGACACGTTAATTAGAGTCTGAATCGCAGGTCAATTCACAAGGTCTCCCCCAGCGTGCCAATGTGAAGAAAAGATAGAAATTTCATTTGAATGATTTTCATTATACCTCTGTCTAATACATAATTTACTCCCAGCAAAGTCCAGCAGTAATGGCGGCCTCGAGCTAAACCACACCAACACGACACACACGTTTTCCGTTCCACCCCCATAGTTCAACCTTTTTAACCAGGTTAGGGTGTTACCATGGGAACCAAACAAGCACAGGACCCAGTTTCTCCCACAAGCTTTCTCTTTTTGTCTATTCTCTTCTTTAAGCCGCTAGTTTGAATCCATGTGGTCACCAGCCAGCGCTACCATTCAAATGTGCTGTTTCATGGATTCACTTATACACAGCCTGATCATAGCGTCCATCTCTGTGGACAGCATCGTCTCCTCTCAGTGCCTTCCTTCTGTCTCTCCATTTGTGGTGGAACATAATTTTAGTGCAATTAACTTCCCTTAAAAGCCCCATCCCTGGTTTAAGCATTTTGAATGAGAGAGGAGGGGTGTGCTGAAGAGAACATGAAAAGGGATAGGGACAAAGTGGAGCGGGCAGAATCAGAGCCAATGTCAGCTGAGGCAGCGTGGAGGAGAGAGGTGTGTTTGACCTGACTAACACAGACAGTAAAACACTACAGCTGCTGCTGCTGCCACGGACATGTCAGTGTACTGTGTTGGAAAAACAGGCACAGGGCTTTTCCAGATCTTTTACCCAAACCAAAAAAGACACACTTTTGATTGCTGATAGTTAATATCTATGACACCCATGGTTCATTATCAAATACCTCGTTTTTCTTTTTTCATAAATAAAACATTTTGTTTCAAAGACTCTTGTAAAGATCAGATCACATTATGCTGTCTTTATCCGAGTAGAACATATTTAATCTTTTGCATACTAACAAAGAGTTAGTCACTATTTTACACTTTGGATGCTGATTGGTAGTAAAAATGGTCCTGTCTTTTCTGTCCCACACTATTCTGTCTCCAGATGTTGGTGCTTGGGTTGGTCAGAACCAGAGCTGGAGTATTTTTGACTATTGAGCATGTATTTAGTGGTAGGGGAAACCGGAGCACCCGGAGGAAACCAGAGCACCAGGTGAAAAATTACGCAAACACAGGGAGAACATAAAAACTCCACTCAGAAAAGCCCTGTACCGACCGGGATCTGAACCTAGGGCCATAAATAAATGATTACTATAAAATTATGATATAATATTAGTTTTGATTTGGGACTTTGAAAGACCACTGTTCGTATGTCACTAAAAACTGAAAATAAGATAAGTTTTCATTTGACGCAGAAGATAAGTTAACCTTTATTCGTCGCTCATTAGGGAAATTTCAGAAAGACTAGATATCAGCAGAATGAGACAAGTTACTAGTAAGAAGAGGAAGAAGATTCAATACTTTAAGTATAGTAATAGATTAGTTGAAAATGTAGAACGTAGGTCAGTCATATCCTAATCACTGATAGTAAAGCAAAAACAACAATTATGCAACATTTCTAAACATGTACAGCACTTTGGTCAACCTTGTATTTCAAATTGTAATACATTGTAAAACCTTTGGATATGGCAAATTGTACTTTGTGTAGTTTGTGTTCACTTAGAATTATCTCCCTCATTAATACAAATGAGACAAAACTGCTGTTTTACGACACAAATGAAATGACTGGGGAACAGACTGGAATCTTTACAACCCCCCAAAGCAAGATTGACTCTCTATAGAAAGGTTTTGAAATATAAATGATTTCAAATAAAGGCCGGTCCTTGATGTACTGTGCAAATATGTACAACATACACAAACCTGAAATGGAGTATGAACACCAAGGGTCATTTTGTTTTCCGTTTTCTACCCTTTTTTCCGTATTCATTTGCTCCCACCTTCCATAATCTCTCTCTCCTCCTTCTCTCCCTCTTTCTCTCTGTGAAGGTCATGCAATTGATTTTCCTCTGTCTATTCATTTTTCAAGACTGGCTTTGAAACGTGGGAAGCAGACAAAAGCCACACGGGCCCCTCCCATTTTCACCTCCATCCATCCCTCTCCGCCAGCTAGCCATCGTCCATCCAAAATAGAAAAAATAAAAAGTTAAGTGTGGAGGAATGCACGCCCCGCCCACCTCCCTTGTATCCTCTTCTTCTTTTTTCCCTCTCTTTCCTTCCGCTTTAAATTCTCTGTCGGACAAATCTCTGACCACATTCCACTAACGGAATTAAAGCCATGCATCACACTTACTACCCTGCCAATGCATTGTGGGCAGACTTGTTCAAACAGATGTCCAAATTAGCATTGCGTTTCCCGATGTGGACCTGGTGCAATTATTTGACCTGTTCGTACAAAATAATGTACAAAAAAGTAATTTCCTTAATGTTTAAGTAGAAGACAAAGACAGCACGTCGCTCCCACATGTTGCTACTCATTGTCTCAGGCAGGTGGCATACAATTTTCCATGACCTTCGAGAAGATGAGACAAGGCCCTGTACACACACGTTTACGGTTTACATTTGTACAACAAGCACTGCTCATAGCAGTTTGCCTCCCATTTGTCTTTCTATTCTATTTGGAGTTGGAAGCGCGGGGATGAACGGATGCTCAGGCACACCTGCTTTCTCTACACACTGCCTCTTTTTCCTCCCAAGGCCACAAGCAAACCCAGAATACACAAGGAAAACAATTTGCTGCAAGAAGATCACGTCCATGGTCATGGCAGTGAGAGGAGCTGACATACAGAAGGGACTTATTGTTTGTGTGCAGACTACCAATAAATTCATCTACTGTATATACACATACTATTGTACACGGGTTAGGGCTGTGCTGGATTTTCAAATGAAAAATGAATTTTTATGGGGTAGAAATATATAAAACAAACCTATACATGAAGTCTTTGTAAGTGTGAAAAAGTTATAAGAGGACTGTTAAAACGTAGGGTGACATTAGTGGGAAGACAGTTTGCTGAGTAGAAAGTGTCTTGGATTCGGCCTCAAGCAGAGCTGTCAAAGTAATCTTTGTCAGAGAATTAAAAACATAGTTGTTCAAAGGCCATAACTTCTTTTGGCTACACTTTTATAACATCATTAGGGCTGAAACAACTAATCGATTAATCGACGACTAATCGATTATTGAAATAGTCGACAACTATTTTAGTAATCGATTAATCGTTTTCTGGTTCACACGGACTCAAACAGAGCAAAAATGACATGAAAATGTAGTATTTTTGATTAAAACCAACTTTGTTTTTATAATTTCATGAATATCTGTCTGTCTCATCCAATCAGATAGCAGAATTAGCACAAAGAGCCTGTTACAAACATTTACTTAAAGTTTACGCCTCAATACGTCCTCGAGTGTTGCCACTTTAGCTTTTTGTGATGAAAAAATATTTTTTTTCTACACAATTCACAGCCAAGCGATTACTCGATTATCGTAAAAATAATCGATAGATTAATCGATTACAAAATAATTGTTAGTTGCAGCTCTAAACATCATGTATTGTTTTCTTTATGGAAAGTTAGTTTGAAGCTCATCAGATGTTTTTATATTTACAGTTTAGTTTATGGACGTACATTTCAGAACAAAATTAGTTCAGGTCTGTTTGGACAACACCAAACCTGGACCAAAGGTAAATGCTGAGTAATTCACATTGACCATATAGAATAGATTATTTGAGTTTAATGTTTAGAATAAAATTAGTGGCTGTTTTCTAAAATTAGCTTTAAAATTGTGTATAACATACCATAGAACTCCTATTAACCTCTTGCAATCAATGCTGCACGTTAATAGAAAAAAAGCAAGAATTGAAAATCATATGAGGGACCACAAAAACGGCGTGTTGGACATGCCTGGCCTGAAGGGTTGAATACTATTCATATTGTCTTTTGGTATATATTACAGACTTTATTGGTTCCAGTGGAGAGACATCTGAAACAATTTAAATATTAAAAAAGCGTTGTGGTCTGAAATTTGTCTTTTATACAATGTAAACAAAAAGTGGAAACAATCTCACTTCTATTTTGCGTCATTTGTAAGCATTAGGCAAGTAGTGTCAAACAATATCATTGAACACAAACATTAAAATAAAAGATAACGTTTGTTACATCTCCTCTGGTGAGACTAGAACTGGCCACAAATACAGCTCTAATTGTACTGTAGCTGCGCCGTTCCCCCCAGTAATAGTAGCAATTAGCCAGACTGTATAATTACACTATCCTCGTTATGTAGTTAATTTCTGTCATTACAGACCACACCAATATTTCCCCTTTGTGTGGCTCTCATTCTTTGACAACACATTCGCTCCGTAGCGCACACATCAATAGAAGCACAGCCAATTATGGTCACTCACACTACACTGTCCTTGTCCGAACTGAGAGTTGTGCTGTGGTATGGCACGGCTGTATGGACTATTGCAACCAAAAACAAGGATCAAACCAGAACAGCTGTTGGCAACACAAATCATGAGAACAAGTGAACAACTGTGCATATGTGTGCCTTTTAAAAAAAACACTGGGTTTAGAGTATTTCCTTGCCGATGCAGGAGGGTCTGTTAAGAGTCTTATGAGCTCTAACTAAAAGGACAGTGGTGATGATCCAGGACACTCAACATTCAACAACATTTATGGACATCTAGCAACACTTTGCAAATTGGTCATCTGCCCTTTATGGACCAATAACTATGTGTTTTATGTTCTATTTATTGTGTTTGAACTGTTTGATTCTCTGGTCTGTGTTGCGTAAAGTCCTCCTAGATAACTACTGATTTAGGGCTATGCAAGATGAAAATTAAATTGAATTGAATTGAAAGTTTTTGATTCAAATTTTTATTGTCTTTAAATGTGTTCAGGAAAATTAGCACAGTGTTTTTTCTGGTTACATTTCTATAACTAAACTCAATATATTGTATGCAAAGTGACATTATTTTTGTACATTTCCCTAATTCACAACAGCAGCATCTTGGAGAACTTTACAATGTTGTTGATTTGCCATAAAGCAGATCAAAGAATCAAACAATTGCATATGGGTTTTTTCACAAGTTGTGAGCCATACTTATCAATCTCAATAACATAAAAAAAAAAAAAGACTTATATATCTTACATGTTTCACATTGTAAGTTGAATTACAGAAAGTAAATGGACAGTTTCACCTGTACATAAAAAAATTTGTTCCAAGCATGTTTAGTGTAGGTTACGACAGAGACCTGCCTGTAAGGATGTCCCAACATGACAGTGCATGAAAGTGAAAACAATTTAAAATATAAAACTATATAAAACTTTGAAGGTTACACGTGGCTCACCTTTACTGCAGTTGTCGCCCTCCAGAAGAGGACTCCAGGGCGGGTCTCCCTGGCTGGCAAAGGTGCGCATGTGCAGGTAGCTGATGGTGAGCCGGATGACAGAGGCCTTGTCCAGTTGACTGGTGATAGCCCCCGGCAATGGCAGCATTTTGGCGAGCTCGAAGAACTCAAAGTTCTCTTTGCCCCGTCGCGAACGAGCTGCATTACGAGACTTTTCCTTACGCAAGTTCTGAAGACTAAAAACAGAGAGAATGGAAGTCAGAATGATAAAAAGGGACAAATAGTGCAGTAAAATTGATGAAGAACATGGAGCAAAGGAGAAAACGAGGATCAAATGGTAGATGAAATGTCTGCATCAGCACAGTGTTAAGTGGTTAAGGGTATCTCATAATAGCCATTTACTGCCCACCTGTTGATTGATTCATAGTCTGTATAAATGACCTGAGTATCAGTCATGAAAAACTCATTTCATAAATACATATAATGGTAATAATGGTCCTCGCAATTCATGTGAAACAATCTTCATTCTACTCACTCTCTGACACAATGGCTTGGTAATTACAGGCAAACTCTTTTCTTCTGCTGAGCCCAGTTCTAATAATGCCATTTGCTCCAAAATCTATATGTGAACACGCGCACAATATTTCTATCTCTCCCTCTCTCCCCTGTCCCTGTTCTCGGTGTCTCATCTGGTCCCGGGCTGCTGAGCGGAGACTGTGATTGAGGGATCAATAGGGGAGGGAGGGGCCGAGTTGAGGGCGAGGGGGGTGTAGGGCTCAGGTAGCCTGTCTCTCTGATTGGATATTGACTCTCCTCAATGGGGCCTGAGTGGTGGAATTATGTTGTCACAGCCACTTCACAATTTGTGCTGGTGCCGCGCAAGAATAAATGTGTGTATGTGTGCGTGTGACCGGGTGAGAGGCTGGAGAGGCAGGCGACCAGGCGATTGTCCCTGGTGTCCGTGTTGTTGATCCTTGTCATAAAAAGGCCACCAGCTGAGCGAGCGTCGATGTGAGCCACTATAACACATATGTTCATAACTTAATCAGAGCATGTGCATGTGTTCTGTCTTCTGTGCGCTCCTTCGTGTGTCGTGTTGCTGCCAGACCCTGTAACATCTCATTATTATACCGTCTCGACCCCAGCCACCCAGAGCAATCAATATACACACATTGATTCTGCTAAGTTTTTATATCCGCCTGTAAATGACTGCCCATTAATAATTCCAGCCAAATTTACTTAATCTCCCGCTAAGGGGAGGGGATTCGCTGCTCTGACAGGATTGGCAGCGGGGCAACAAAGCAGGTTATATGTTGCACCGGGGAGAGCAATCCTGGCGCGGGTGAATTGTGTATTACTGATGGAGTTCTTCCACGGCTTGTCTGGCTGAGCGCCGCATGGATTTCACCTTGTGTGCATTAATTCATGTGCATGCACGCCAGCTTAGCCAGTGTCAGCGCTGTGTGTGCCCTCACCATGGCAGGGTGGGAGGCTTGGCCAGAAGTCCTTGTAGGAAATCCCACTCCACGCTCACGCACTTCCCCTCACTGACAAATGGCATGGTCGCCATCCTTCTCCCAATTACTCGCCAACGCCCTTGTTAACGAAGGCTCTGATTGGCTGGAAACAAGACGGAATCAAGCCTGAAAGAGGAACAAAAGGTAATAGTTAATAAGATGTAGAGATCCTTGATTTTCGTCCCACAGTTGAGAAGTTTCAGTGTTGCATCACAAGTTACAGAACAGTAGGAATGGGGAGCACACAGCATAAGAAACATGAATAATAACTCTATACTGAAATAATAGAAAATAAAATCTCTAACTCTAGCATAAGCAGTATAAAATATCTATCTTTAGCATAATAAGGAAAGAAGTCTGACATCTCCAAATGTAGCATGATGAAGTCAGTGGTCAGCATTATCTTCAAACCAGTCCTGAATGGGCTGAAGGTTTTCATTTCGACCAACCAGGAGCACATTTCATCAAGTCACCTGGTTAAGACTGCACTCAATTAATGAATAGAGTGTTTTGAGGACCACTCTATAAATAGTACTGCTTCTATAGCGATTAACAACAGGGTTTAAAACAGAACTTTTCAAAAACAAATTTCATCTCTGACATTTATCAACTAAAAACGATATCTCTGTGAACCCCCCCCCCCCCCCCCCCCCCCCACACTGTTCCAACCCATGTCAGAGTGTTGGGAAAGTTAGATTACATGTGTATGCCAATAAATACAGGCCAGTAACTGAAAAATCAAAGAAGCAGGGCTGCTGTTTGTGATGAAAAGTTACAACTCTATCCCTTTCATGAGAAAAAGTTATTCTCATGTTGTTGATTCATGCTATAAATCTTAATAGAAAACTATCTCTAATCAGGGGCATCAGCAGCCTCTTGTTTCTCACATCTGAACCGGACCGTGCCAATACTCTCCAATCAACTGCCTCCACTGTGCTTTGACATTTAAAGGGCTAGCGTGGCCCCGAGCGCCCCAGTGTCGTGCCCTTGGGCCCGGGATGCCCTCTGCCTCTCACTCTTTTAACTCTCTCTATCTTTGGCCTCAGCTGGGTCAGCACAATGAAGTCGGAGGAGTTTTTGGCAGGGCAGGGGAAATGGATTATACTGTATGTGGACCCTGACCCTGGCTAAGAGGGGTCAGGAGAAGCTCAGCAGGTCTGGCACATATCATTTTACAAATCGGTCTTAAACAACACGTAATGTATTCGCAAAAACTTGTTGGATTGGTTTCAAAGCCAGAGAAGTCAATGAAGACTGCAGCGGAGCAGGGGAAAGCCGCTCAAAGGGGAGATGGGGTCAGTCTTGTACCTTTGGATTAATGTATTTGAGGATTAAAGCAAATTCTTACTCCTCCTTTGGAACATGGACTGGGTTCATGGATGAAGACTGACCTGAGCTGACACATTTAAGGATTTTCACTCGTTCACACGATGAGGTTAGATTATGCAGTCTATTGTTTGAGGTTGACAAATGATCAAAATAGGGGAAATATGGTGAGTTTATTCAAAAAACATAATTGTTTTGAATATCAAGAATGAATCAAGAACAAATACTAGAAAATATATAGATTAAAAGGAAACATTATTTAATAAATTCAAAATGTAAACTTTTGAATAGGTATGTAAATGCAATTCTAACAAAGAAGCAGCCCCTAAATGTTACTCAATATGTATCTTATAATCTAATCTAATATTCTATTAATTTATTTCTGTTATTGATTTTAGTAGTCCTCTGTCTTGTATATAGGTTCAGGAACCCACCTTTTGTCTGTTTCACATGGCCAAAAAGGCCATGAAAAATTTGTGGATTAAAACTTTCACATTTGTCTAATACTTTATATATATATAAAATGTTTTGGCACTTATCTAGTGATTGGCAGACTAGTTATTGGGATATTTGGTATTGCCTAATTTGATCTGACCTTACTTTGAAATATCTAAAGGGTTCAAAAGTCTCACTGACCAAGTCTCGCAAACACATACTGTTACATTTTATTGCCACTTGTCACATTGCACTGTATTATGTTTTCACACAAATAAAATGCCTCAATGTATTGAAAGATACGCCCAGTCCAAAATAATGCCCAGGTTGAGAGCATCTGAACAGCGTACACCTGTCAAGTACACCCATGAATGAATTGCTAACTGGTGGCGCTTGACAAAATGTACTGTTTGCTACGGAGCAAATAGTCTGTGACCAAATCATATCATATTTTCTGGCACGGTTGGCCAATCTGTTCATGGCAAGAAGACATAACTCTATATGATTTACTCTGCTCATCCAAACTTCTTCAAAGTTGTATCTAGCCCAGAGTAAAGGGAACAATATTTCTCAACAAGCTTCAGCATGCAGTCCTGACAGTCGGCTCTGGGCACGTACTAAAGAGGAGATGGGGCAGAGCAAAGGGCACAGCACCTCTGTCTAACAACTTCACCTTTGTCACCTTTTCCAGCTCACCGGGATAACTGCACTCCATTTTAAATGAGGGCCCATATAGTACCGGGGGATCACAAGGGACGGCCGAGTGTGAGGGGAATCATCTCCTGTCAAACCCTTCCTGTCCTGCAGACCCTCTCCCTCTCCCACCCACAGTTGTATGTTTATCTCTTAATTGACCCTATCTGAGTTTATCTAATCTGTCCTCCCATCTTTGTGTCTCCGGTATCTCTTCATCTCGGGCGCCGCCTCCCGCTATCAGAGCACACACAGGGGCGTAATGGACAAGGGCCTCCACAGTAATTATTCAATCAGCCTCATAACCTTGTCACAGGTTGGCCGCTCCATTAATGCACTCACCCAAATAGACCTTGCCACTTTGACTGCTAATGCTCTCACTTGTGACCGGCACAGATGCATGTCAGAAGTGTCAGAGGATGAAGAATGCCCCAATCAAAAGAAGGCTTGATTTGGGGATGATCAACCTGTTTGCTCCATGGTCACAGGTGCTCACAATGTGTTGCTGCAGTACTGCATATTTATGACTGTATGTAGATAAGTGGGACCCTTAGCCCATAGGCCGTGCTCTCTTGACTGGGGTTCGGCAGCAGCAGAGAGGAGGGCACTGCCGAGCACAATCACAGGCGATACATGCCGAGGCTGCGCTCTCTCTCTACTGCTCGCTTGGCTCGTGCTCTGTTTATTTTCTGCAGGGACGTTTAATTAGGGCCTCCAGCTGTCAGAGGTTCGTTAGCGCGCCCCTCCTCTTGGCGAAACCTCCCCTCCCTGTAGGGAGTCAGGGGCATCAGGCAAATGAACACATTTAAGTCAAACGGCATGCAGATAGACAATAGGCTGGGTGCTGTGCCACCAGCTATCCTAGGTACAGACATGCTTGTTTTATGCCTCATCTCCTCAACCCCTGGGGCCCAATACAAAGACTGGCCCAGACTGTCAATGTGCACATGGAGGTTCACTCATCGGACATGACACCTTATACATGCTGCTGTTATAGTGGAAAGCCTAGCTAACTTAAGAAAGAAAAATGCACAACTTTTTAAATCAAAGAAGGATCAAAGCAACATATTTTTTGAACACTTAACACAACCATTACGTTGGTTGGCCTTGGTTATTATATAGCTTTATGTTGACTATTTGGCAATGTTTACTTTTATAGATTTCGCGCAAATTTTCTGACATCTCCACACAGACCAGTCATCTTTAATTATCTCTGACCAGAGGTAAAAGCAGGAGAGTTAAGATACAACGCGTAAGTTATTCCTGAGTATAATATTTTATCAAACAGGCAACGTTCAATATCAGGGAAGATGTAGAAAACATGGTTTGAAATAACATGCACAGAATATCTAATGTGGCTAGTTTTCTATCTGGCCTTTCATGTTGTTGAGTAGTTGTAAATGAGTGTCTGAAGCGTCCGGGGAGATGAAGTTTGGTATTCTGGTTGGAGGGCTGAAAACTACTTATCATGCATTACGGCCCTGGTCAGACCTCAGGATTTGGAAGTCAAAAGACTTTTTAATGTACAATTTTTCAGCCGCTGATCAATCGACAGCTGCTGGACATGAAGATCTCTCTCGCCCTATCCTTCTATATTCCATATCCCGGCGCACTAAGCATTCAGCTGCCGTATAGGAGCGCCGGCTGCGGTTGACCTTGGCAACTCTGGATCATTCCCAATCCAAGGTTCTCTCCAAGTCTCAAGGGCCTTGGTATCCCCCCACCGCCAGCACTGCATACACACTCTCTGCTTCCACGCATAACCCTCTCCACGCTCCTCCCTTGCCCCCGTGTGGGTCATTAATTATCTAATGGAATCAATACGGCGTCAGATTGGTCCAGCATGACCCCGCCCGCCCCCAGGTACCACAATGTTGATGAAGAGGAAGAGCTAAAGAAACAGCCAGCAAAACAGTCTGTGGGACTGGCCACCTTTAGCATGTGAACCTTACCTAAACTGGAGGAATAAAGAGATCAGCGATAAATAAATGATTAGTGGGCGACGGCCAGCGGATGGGGGATGGCAGGAGTAAAAGAGGAGGGCGAGATTTGAGAGAACCGGACAGTGGAGGCGTGGAATCCGGCAAAGATGCACATAAAAAAGGAGAGTTCTTCCTTGGTAATCAATACCTGCTTCCCCCTCCTCTTTTATTACAAGGGCCTTTGGTGAAGCACACTTTGATGTCCACTCCTCACGGGCGGAGATCTGCAAAGAATGCAATCCGTGTCTGTCATAATTATCGTCCACCTTGGCCTCTGTCTGAACCAAAGAAAATTCACCTACACTGTATAAAACATGAAGCTATAAAGTATTAAAAATGTATTCTCTAAGGTATCTGAAATCAACTTCATTAACTATACTTATCCTGATTTGAAGTGGTGCTTTCTGAATGGCAGCACCGATTAATAAACGGCAACAATGCGCTTTGAGGTGAGGACAAAAGCACTGTAATTACTGGGCAGAGAAGCAAGCAATTACAAAGTTCTTTTTAAAATCTGCATTTGACAAATTAGTAAAGCCAAAAAAAATTTTCAACGACAAAAAAAATACTCAAAGGGCATAGTTACAATTTACAAACTTCAAATTTAACTTCAAATTTTACAAAATTCAAATTCAAAAATACAGGTTCACATTTTGGGCATTCAATACTACTCCAAAAAACACCAAAAAAGTTGCTTGTGAACTCAAAACAGACACAAAAAGCAATCTAAACTTCGGGCTCGGCTGTAGGAGGAAAGCGGATGCAGTCTCCTTCCTATAAGACTGAAGATGGTAAATCCACTCCCGCAGGCTGGGACCACATCAGCACTGACCTCCAAATAACCACAGGCCAGAAAGCAGCACACAGGGTCAGAGACTGCCTCCCATACAAACACAAGCTTGGACATGAAAGCACAATCCGAGCAGCAGCACAGAGATGTCCACATGCTAATGCAGACACATCAATTAGCATGGAGCAGAAGTCAGAGTTCAGACCCGTGTCAAACTGTTGATAAAGAGTTGTGCAAGTTGTGTAGGTGTCAGTAGTGCAGAGGGGAAGCTGCTAAAATACCCACTAAATGCTTCTAGCTATAGCTTTTTCCTCCCAGTACTTTCAGAGACACTGCTACAATTAAAACGCAAGCGCTTGATATGATGGCATACATTTAAAAAAACAGGCCCGGTTCAAAACGTAAAGTTTAAAGAGCTGGTGAAACGCTTACACATGACATGCACATTGAGGAGCGGGTCCATGTCTGTGTGTGCGGGCGAGCAGATCCCTTCAGGGCCGAAGTATGAATGACAGCGGGGGTTATGTAAGGAGCCACGCGGGGCAGGAGTGGACAGTCCGAGCGGAGATCAGGTCAGCAGAGTGTGACACTAAACACATCTCCCTGACACTGCACTGACACCTTCTGTGGCTGTCTGTCAGCACGGCCGGCGCGCAGAGATGCACAGTGACGCACGCGCACATAGACACACAAGCACGCCAGCAACTGTCTGTCAACAGTGAGGCAGCGGCTGCACAAGAGGGACGTGTCTACCTGTGGACCTGTCAGGGAGTCACTAAAGCTTCTGTCTGCTGCAGTCTGCTAAACGCTCTTCATTTACTCACTGTGCATTTGATAACCGTGCTTTAGCGCTGGGTTGTGGGTGGAGGTAAAGAAAGTTATTTTGGAGGGTATAATGTTATCTGTAATTGTTTTGTTTTTCTGCTGAACTTACATTATGGGACTGTGATAGATTTACGAAGGAGTGATTTGAAGAAACGGATAAGATTTTTACACCTGTTTTAGAAATTCTATGATTGAACGGATTCTGTGAAATTCTGACATCAGTAACATCTAATCAAGGCGTTAAAATGGTTTTTAAGTAATCATTAAAAACTACTGAAAGTGTATATCTTCATCAAGAACCTCTGACTAAGGAACCAAAGCAACGCAAAACAAAATATTATGTTTAGAATTCAGCATGTAGATCTGAGAACGCTGAATCTGTAATTAAATGGTCGCAGATAAAATGAACGATAATAATTAAAATAGAATAGGATGAGAAATAATAATTTCACAAATCTCTAAAGGCGTCCTTAGAACTCCCACTGTATTCATCCTACAATACTCACACACAACCATTTAAACACATTCACAGCATCATAATTATTATATTATATTAAACCTACAACTCAACAATGTCATTTTGACCCAACAATGAAATGAAAAAGTACACAAACACAGTGAAACACAAACCAAAGCAGCCTAATCCATGGCGTACAACATAAATAAATGGTGAATTTCTGACCACAAAGACTCGACAGATCTAAAACATCCCACTAAGCTGAGCGTTTATCACAGAACGACTTTCGCCAGGTTTTCACTTTGACTGGAACTGCCAAACCTCCAGACGCTAACGTTCCTGATCGGGAGCCTGGAATGTGTTGGTTTGATGTTGTTATTTACTTTTTGCACGGCGCTCAACAGTGTTCGTTCGTCACAGTCGTTTTGCCGATTGGGACCACCTGCTGAAACGCGCCCGCAGGCAGCAGCACTACTGAGGCACTAAACTGTGACCAATTGTGTGAGTGCAGGTGGAGGAAAGCACACTGCACATCTCATTTATCCCCGACTAGAGAGGACCCATTATTATTAAAGTCAAGCAGCGCGCGAGCAGAAAGGCACTTAATTATTTGGCTTATCTGAAAAAAAAAGCATAGATTGGAACTTTTTTCGTGGAGGGAAAAAAAAATGTTAATCGGAAAAATTCAGAAGCGGGCGGCGGATGAAAGGTGGGAAACTGTCATGTGGGGATGAAAGAGTTCTTTAATCAGAGAAATTATGTGAAATTATCTTAAATCAAATAATTAGAACAAGCACTATAACTAATGTGACCGCCATACAGGCACATTTTGCTGAGTTTTGCATATTCCTATGAGGGAGGGGAAGAAAAACACATAAAGCTCTTGAACTTTTAACTGAATTGAATGAAGCTGAAAAAAAATGACAAATGTTTCTTTCAAATGAGCAAAATCTGTGATTGAGCATTTGTGCAAGAGAAGTGCAAAAGTTGGTACTAATAAACTTGCATATCAAACTCAAGAGACAAACTTTGGCAAACAATAGCATCAACGCAATACTGAGGAGAATAATAATCAAAAGCCTGAATTGATCCCGTGGTGCCTCTGTATGCATAAAGTGAGCAACGCATTTAAACTGTCAAATCTCTCATCTCACCTGTCTGACATTTCTTTCCAGGCTGCCGCTGTTGCTCTTATCCACTTTGCAGGTTCTTCCTCCCTCTTCAGCGTGCCCCTCGCTCTGTCCCGTGCGCCTTCTCCAATTCAAACTCCTCCAGCAGAAATGCCACTCCAGCGCCGTCTCTGATCCTAAAAACACCAAACAAACACTGGACGCACGGATAGTGGGGGCAACCTCTCGCGGACCGCCCTCTCGCCTCGCACTTTCACAATGTCCAGGTCGCGGGACACATGGCAGCGGCGTCCAGTGGCCGAGCGAGTGTGTTGTTATTGGTGTGTGTGATTTTTTTTTTTCTTTTCTCGGACTCAGTTCTCCGCCACTGCTCTTCGGAGATGGACTCGGATTAGGACCCAGAGAGTGTGTGAATCCTCTCTCTCCTCCTCTCTGTCGCTCGCTCCAGCCGGCATCGCACGCCCCAGTCTCTCCTCTTCTCTCTCTCTCTCTTCGCGCTCATTCACTGTTCTCTCCTTGCAGCGCTCTTTTCATTTCCTCTTGGGAAAGCCACAGCGCGCACCGGTTGTCTGTGCCTTCAGCTGCTCCCTCTCAGTCACTAGTAAATATAAAAGGCATGCTTGTACAGCCCCTCCGCCTCAGTCTCCCTGTGCCTCTTACGTCCCTCCCTAACGCCGCGGCTGTGTCTCATGCTTTTCGTTTACCCCCCTCCACACTCCCCCCCCCCCCCCCCCCCCCCCTCCTACCCCAACCTCCCCTTCATCCTTTCCTCTCCAGTTTTCCTTTCTCACTGTCAAAGCTGCCTTTCAAATGCTGATTAGCAGCTAGAGCCAAAGGAGGAGGGAGAGCGGATGACTGGAACAAGTGGGAGATTCCATCACACTCACATGTGTAGTAAACTCCTGTCACAGATTCACAACACACATGTTTGTTTTCGCAGCGCGCCGCGTCGAGATGATGGTTTATCCCAGAACGACCTGAAGTGAGAGAGGAAAAAGTGTCACCAGAAAGTCCTTCACATTACATAAATGTAAAGTAATACTAGACATTTGTGAGGACACACACATCTCTTGTCAAATATTCTGAGACCTTTAAAAAAAAAAAAAAAATCTTGAATGATTGTTGTGATTTTAAAAGAAAGCCTCCAGTTGGTTTAAATCAGGGCCTAGCTCTATTAGAATATTGTTCAACAGCATGTAAACCTATGTTGTGGATACATTTACTTATATATGTATATGTAATATATATTGTTCCGGACCATTTGTTGTCCGAATCCCACTACATGTGATCACAGTCCAATTACAACTGGCATTCATGTCTCAGGTCCGGTTTGGTTTGCTCCAAACCTTAAAACTAAATTGCAAGACATGGCTAACACACCTCTTAACATATATTTGTAATTAAAAAGTTATATTTTTGTTAAATGTGGTATTGGATTTGTACATGTACCTCATATCCAGAGACACAGATAGGTCAGGCCAAGGCCCTGCTTTTAATGAATGATATGTGTGCTACCTTAATATCCTACCTAAATAACAATACATTCAGTATTCTCCAGAGAGCAGTATTGAAATTCATAAGCATGGTATGTCGTCACACAGCTAATGCAATGTATTATAGACTGACTGAATAGTTGCAATTTAAACAGTAGAAGGTTTCTGTCTGACGCCTAAAAGCCTTCAGTGCAACATAAGTGCTGTTTATTGAAACATATAGCTCTCTTGAGAGCTAAACTGCTAAATGCTACCTAATGTCAGATAGAGGAAAAAAATCATTCAGTTTAATGTGATTATTGCATGCACGGTGAGTCATTGGCATCTGAACCTTACCGCTTTGTAATCAGTGAGAGACGACATTGCGAATCTCTGCTGCCTGGCTGTATAGCTTCCATATATATGTTCCATAGTATATCTGCACACACACACACACACGCACACACACACACTACCACATGTGTATGTGAACAAATAATCACACTCAGACTCACTCAAGTCCCCCCTCCTGTGTTCGTTCCCCTTGCCCTCAAACACTACTCAGAATATTGATACATCAGCCCTCCTCCCTTTTCTCTCCTCCATCACTCACTTTTGCTACTGAATACTGATAGGCTGTCTACTCCGTGGTCTGAGTTTCAAATCTCTCCCTCACTCGCAATGCCTCTTAGAACGCCCGCTACAGAAAGGCAACATAAAGGAGGAAATAACACAACTTAATGCACTGAGGTAGACATAAATTCACTTAAGGACCATTTCAGATTATGTCAAGCTAAAAATGGGCTTAACATTGTGGGAAGGAGGGAAGTGCGGCGGAGGAGGAAGGCCATTGGCTGCATGTTGCCAGCGGAAACTGTCCGAGTGGCTCGCAGGGGAAACCAGGGAACGGCTCGGGTCACAACAAAAGGAGAGGGACGTGTGAAAAGTTCAGGCAAATGAAGATGCATTCAGTGTTTTCTGCGCGGCTCCCACCCTCCCTGCCCATTGTTGGCAGTGTGAGCTCTGGCGCAGCTGAAAGGGGGAGAGCCAAGTGAATAAGGTTGTCAAAGTGTCCCGGAGAGCCCCCTTCAGAGACAGGCACACACTCAACAGCTTGAAACAGCTGAGAGCAGGGAGACAACACACAGAAAATGCTGTTTTTTTCTGGGGGACAGTGGAGGGGCCTTCCTGTATATTTTTTAGCTTAAGAGCGCATAGGAGACTGAGGCAAACATGAATGCCGGTCTCTTTGGAGCCGTTTTTCTGTCTGCATCAGAAGTGGAGTGTGCGCCTGAGACACTAGGAGAGGCACTGTGTGATTGTGTCCTCCAAGTCTTCCCCAGGCGTCCTTGAAGGAGAGTGTGTGTGAAAGAGACGAGCTCATAGGCTTATACCTTTAGCACCGCGGGCTTGCCTGGCAGAGCACTACTACAGGTGTTCCCTTCAGAAACCATGGCACTCCGGGAATCAGCACCAGAGCAGAGAATGAATGGAAAAACTATAATGAAAAGGGGACAGAATTCTTTGTCAGTGTTTGTGGCTGGGCCCTGGTGGGTACACGCTGTGGAGTGGTGTGTGACGGGCGAGCCAGCGGTCACACCCACATCTGACCTTGTTTCTCCACCTGTCTACACATGACAACAGAGCGGACAGGCCAGTGGAGGGATGCACAAGAGGGGTTTTCACACAAGATATTTGGAAAACCCAAGCTTAAAATATTTGGGTAGCAAAAAAATCCAAGATGGATTACTGAATGCATTTTCAACGTGATGAATATGACTTAATAATAGAAAAAGGCCGCATGACACAGGTACGGGTTCAGCCTTTCATACAAAACAAGATCCAAAAGACTGGGCCTCTTCTATGGTTGGCCCAAACAAAACTTTCTCGAGTTATTGTTTTTAAATTGTTCGGTCGCTCTATACACAGTGGTGGTGAAGTATCGCTATAGCCACAGGTGTCCTTTAGTTCTGATCAGAATTGTCATTGTTAGTTCTCTTTTATGATTATTCTTTATTTTAAATCATTTTAAGAAAACAATTAAATGACACCATCATTTTACTCCCTGTACTATAATTGCTCCAGTTTATAGAGAAACACAAACTTTACATCAGTCATTTTCCTCTGACAAGGAAACCTTACAAATAGAATGAAAGGTTTAAGACAAATGTGCGCTAGAGAGAATGTCTAAACTACAGCAACTACACCCAGCATTATTTAGAGCTCTCTTATAGCTATGAAGGAAACAATGGGTCTACTATTCTCAGAGAGTTATTCTGATAGAAAAAAAGCAAATAAATGAAAAACATGTGAATGCACCTAATGTGATGTGCTGCCAAGTTAGACCCATTCTGTAAACATGAACTTAATATGAGACAAACTCAAACAGGTCTCTGCCTTAACTCATCCATCATAAGTCAGAGAAGAAGAGAAAGCATGCTGACATTTAGGGGATTGCACAAGAGCTGTATGCGTCTCACCAGCCTTGGGTTTGCCACCCCTGTTATAGGGGGACAGTAGTTAAGACTATATTTGCGGGTGAACTTTACCTATGCTGCATGTTTTGTTTGGTGGGGGAAACCGGAGCACCTGGAAAAAACACACTGAGTCACAGGAAGAAACATACAAATTTGACCCAGAAAGGCCAGGGTTGGCACAGGAATCTAACCTGCAAAATGAGCTCATCCTCCACAAACAGCAGAGATTAAATCCTGTACCTGTCCATAAAAATAAGGAGCAGAACCGTGACAAACAGACAAAGGTCAGCCCTGTGTTCCGCAGTCAGGGCAAAAACCTCACTGCTCCTCCTGAATCTGAGAATCAACTTTTGGTTGGATTCTCCTCTCCAGTACCCTGGAATAGACCTAAAGTGAAAAGGGAACCCAAACAGAGAGGTGATTGAGGAGAATTAGCCTTTGGCTAGATGGCCTATGGACATGGCATCGGTTATAATGAAACAATGTTCTTCTTTGTTCTGTCCTTCCAAATAAACTAATAAATAAATAATAAGAGGAATAGGTAGTCTCAGGTATTGATACACTGGCATGAATGGTGAGGGTGCTCAGACCCCAGGTGTCCACTGACGCAAGCTTTGATGTGGGTCAGGTCCTGTGCTTAAAACCAATGAGCTGTTCACAGACCCCAGAGGCCTTCTGAATATGTCCTGCACCAACGTCGAAGTCAGTGGATGCCTGGTAGCCCCTCTAAACCTCAACTTTTAAGACATTGTGTTAATAGAATGTAGTAAAACTACTCAAACACCCAAATTGAAAGACCAGACCACACTTATTTCCTATTGAATACAGACTCCAAAAAGTCAACATTTATGGGTCCTCCAAACCATGTGGGAGTATATACTGGGTTTGATTCTTAAGACTGAGTGCTGTGAGCTCAGGTCATCCACATAACAATTCTCCACTACACTGCTGTGTGACACAACATGCAGCTGTTTGGGCATGGTCAATACCTCCGGTTTAGGAATGATGTTGTGAAAATGCTTAGTGTTCAAAGCAACAAGCTATAAATCCTCCAATTCAACCTTTATCAGTTGTTTCCTGGAAATACGGTGCGCATTTGAAGAGGTCAGTAATATTAAACGACATACACAGGGCTGTGTTTGAGTTTGCACATATTGACAAGGCATCTACAAGCAGCAGGCACGTTGCTTCTCTCTCTCAGGTGCTGAAGACAGCCAGGCTCTTTATAGCTAAAACTCTCCTGTCTGTGCGGTGAATAGAAATGAAGTTATTCTGCTGAAATGTTTCCCGAAATAACGCCTTGTGCATCAGACTATGTAATATACATATTGAAATGTTTTATTAACATGCAGAGGGTGAATGTAAAGAGTGCTCAGACAAAATGCATTGACAAAAGGTGAGAGAGACTTTCTACAATCTTACAGTGCCTTGCGAAAGTATTCGGCCCCCTTGAACCTTTCAACTTTTCGCCACATTTCAGGCTTCAAACATAAAGATATAAAATTTTAATTTTTTGTCATGAATCAACAACAAGTGGGACACAATCGTGAAGTGGAAATATTAATTGGATAATTTAAACTTTTTTAACAAATACAAAACTGAAAAGTGGTGTGTGCAATATTATTCGTCCCCTTTACTTTCAGTGCAGCAAACTCAGTCCAGAAGTTCAGTGAGGATCTTTGAATGATCCAATGTTGTCCTAAATGACTGATGATGATAAATAGAATGCTCCTTTGTGTAATCAAGTCTCCGTATAAATGCACCTGCTCTTTGATAGTCTCAGGGTTCTGTTTAAAGCGCAGAGAGAACCATGAAGACAAAGGAACACACCAGGCAGGTCCGAGATACTGTTGTGGAGAAGTTTAAAGCCGGATTTGGATACAAAAAGATTTCCCAAGCTTTAAACATCTCAAGGAGCACTGTGCAAGCAATTATATTGAAATGGAAGGAGTATCAGATCACTGCAAATCTACCAAGACCTGGCCGTCCCTCCAAACTTTCATCTCAAACAAGGAGAAGACTGATCAGAGATGCAGCCAAGAGGCCCATGATCACTCTGGATGAACTGCAGATACTACAGCTGAGGTGGGAGAGTCTGTCCATAGGACAACAATCAGTCGTGCACTGCACAAATCTGGCCTTTATGGAAGAGTGGCAAGAAGAAAGCCATTTCTCAAAGATATCCATAAAAAGTCTCTTAAAGTTTGCCACAAGCCACCTGGGAGACACACCAAACATGTGGAAGAAGGTGCTCTGGTCAGATGAAACCAAAATCAAACTTTTTGGCCACAATGCAAAACGATATGTTTGGCGTAAAAGCAACACAGCTCATCACCCTGAACACACCATCCCCACTGTCAAACATGGTGGTGGCAGCATCATGGTTTGGGCCTGCTTTTCTTCAGCAGGGACAGGGAAGATGGCTAAAATTGATGGGAAGATGGATGGAGCCAAATACAAGACCATTCTGGAAGAAAACCTGTTGGAGTCTTCAAAAGATCTGAGACTGGGACGGAGATTTATCTTCCAACAGGACAATGATCCAAAACATAAAGCCAAATCTACAATGGAATGGTTCACAAATAGACGTATCCAGGTGTTAGAATGGCCAAGTCAAAGTCCAGACCTGAATCCAATCGAGAATCTGTGGAAAGAGCTGAAGACTGCTGTTCACAAACGCTCTCATCCAACCTCACTGAGCTCGAGCTGTTTTGCAAGGAAGAATGGGCAAGAATTCCAGTCTCTCGATGTGCAAAACTGATAGAGACATATCCCAAGCGACTTGCAGCTGTATTTGTAGCAAAAGGTGGCGCTACACAATAATATTGCACGCCCCACTTTTCAGTTTTTTATTTGTTAAAAAAGTTTAAATTATCCAATACATTTCGTTCTACTTCACGATTGTGTCCCACTTGTTGTTGATTCTTGACAAAAACATTTATTTTTATATCTTTATGTTTGAAGCCTGAAATGTGGCGAAATGTTGAAAGGTTCAATGGGGGCCGAATACTTTCGCAAGGCACTGTAGGTCCAGCTCAGCTGTAAACATACAATTAGTCTCTATTTACTAATATGATTCTTTCAAAAGGGAAAACTACTCTATACTTACATATCAATTAGAATTACTTAGCAATGGTAAACTTAAGGCAGCAAAAAATGGAGCAGCAATTTATGGAAGTTAAAAATGAAAATAAAAATATAAAACATTAAATCTTCCATTGAAATATGTATGTTGTAAATGTCCACAAGTCCTAAGTAAAAAATGCAGTTGATTCTGTAGGGAGAGCAGTGTCCCAAACAGACAGCCTGTTACCTCATGACAGATAGATACTGTCATAACGCTCAATAACAGCTATGGGCAAACATAAACTACACTATGAAGAAAGGAACAGACAATAGTGTCATGGTGTGGATTTTTTGTTATTTTGTACTTGGTTCTATTTGACTTTAGTTCTCTGTGGTTTAATTTTTTTGTTTTACTTCCTGTCCTGTTCCTCTGTCTTATCTGCCCCGCCCTGGTGTGTTTCACCTGTGTCTTTGTGTCTATTTGTACCCTGTGCTCCTCTCCCCTTGTTGCTGGTTCATTGTATTGTCAATGTCTGTCCTGTTCAGTGCCTTTTCTGGTTAATCAAATTTACATAATTACTTAAAACTATGTGAAACTGTAGCACAACAAGCGCACACAACTGATTTTAGCCAACACTGCTCTGAAGACAACAATCTGATTTAGCTTTTGAAATATTTGAACTCAGACCTCACAAAAGCTAATGTTCAGAATCTTAGCTGCAAAAGAAATAAAACTAGCCAGGCCACTCCGCCTCCGCCCACTCCGGTTGCCTGGGACCCTACAAGATAGATCTATTTACATATTTATTTAACTTTATTTAAAGAATCTCTTTGTCGGAGGCTCCTACTGTAGCTAAAAAGTGAGAGCGCAAACCACTCAGCATGCAACCGTGCTACCTACATAGATACTTTAAAATAATTGGAATATAAGGAAATATTTGGGCATGAAGAGAATTAACATCTCTGAAGGTTGTCTCTCTATAAGGAACAGTATAGAAGCTATGCATAACAAGTTTAAATTATTCGTTACACTTGAATAATTTCAATGAATTCATGAGGAAACAAGTGGTGTCCACATGTTTGGCTGTAGTCAACTTGTAAGGACAAACCATGTCACAATAAACTTCCAGTGTAAATTAAGCTATGTCAACTTTTTCTATTATTCAATATGGTCAGACTTAAACCAGATAATTTCCATAAATCATAATGGCTTGTTTTACAAATATGTGCTTTTCCAGGATGTTCAAGAGATTTTCACTCTGATCTACGTGAGCCCTGGGTCCATAGAACAAACAGGAGCTCCACATTACTGTGAACACATACAAGACACTGATGAGAAGAGCGTAATGCAAGGATTGGATGTTTATTCATCGAACTGAATTTCTCCGTCTGTGAGATAATAAAGGATTGATTGATTGATTAGAGAGAGACAGCGTTATTTTTCTTTATGAGTTACAAATAGTTCTGATTTATCCAGTATCAATCATGTGACTAGTGATCTACATAATATAATACTTAATAGATCGCTTTCAGAAAAGAGCAATCTGATAAATCCATAAATGTCTACTGGAGTCACATCACAATGAATACAAAAAATAAAATGAAATTATTTCAAATGACCCATCGACAAAGAAAAGCTTGCATTGCTTAACAGCGGCAAGGGTTGAAAAATAAGAAGACTTTGCCTGCGCCTGCTGATTCTCATCGGAGTAGTCCACAGAAGAACTCCATCATCCATAATTTGTCCCCTGTAAATTCCATAGAATTGTATCCAAAGCAAGAGCGCACTGTAAGTACCACGGCTCTACATTATTCCGTAACAAACTCTGCTTTAGAGGAGTCTGCAGTCATGTCCTCATAATGGTTTCCACAATCAGGTTTGACCTTTTTCCCTCTGTCCTTACCCTGTGTCCAATAGCGTACACATCTGGGAGAACGCTGTATACTGTATATTTACAATTCTCTTTCAAATATATGTGACAAGATAGTGATTCTACGCCGGGGATATTGTACAGGGCCACAACAAGAGGCCACTTTAGGTTGTTTAGCATCAGACAGTGTCTGGTAAGATGCAACACATTTCCTTTCCATAGATGATCATAGGTAGTTGATTATGACCTGTGGAATATTCTTCAATGCTTGTACAAAGATATGGGCAGGAACTGGAACACATTGTTTACGGGAATCTAGAATGTCCCAAACATGGTCAAAGGGTGTTGTGTCCCGGGAGTATGCTGTCCAACAAGGACTGGGATGTTTTCATCTTCCAGGAAATGTGTGCAGACCCTTGGAAAAGGGTTCTGAGGCCAGATAGATGTCAAAAAGTCCGGAACATCTTTGGAGACGGCTTACAGTAGAGAATTGGGCAACGGCACTGGTGGACTTTAATGCAGTCATCCAATCGCACAGATGTTATGTCAAAACATAACATCTGTGACACTGGGATGTGAGATAAAAAAAATTAAACAGTGAACTTTTATTGTTTTCAGCTTAAGGCACACCTGTTGTAATCATTCTGTCAAATCAGCATCTTGATATAGAGCTGAGAAGTCAGATAGATTTTCTCAGCAACGAAGATTCCTCAATTTTCAGAGCAGAACTTTCTATGTAAAATGTCCTGAATGAATCTAACAACCCTTTCCAGTTTTAGGTTGGATGAATATTGATACTAAATTATTTTCTGAACGTGATATGAGATGATTATGTTGATTAATAACCAATCAATACAAAAGGATTTCTGCTTTTAACAAAAATTATTTAAAAAAAGAAGTATTCAGATACTTTTCCTCCATAAAAAGTAGTCCATAGCGATTCAAGCAGTGAAACGTTTTATCCTCCGACGCCCTACAGCGGCTCACATAGATGATAAGTGTAAAAGGCTGTTTAAAGATAACTGCCATAGAGTAGATAATATTCTAAATCTCTCAGACAATAACTCTTTGAGGGCATGTGGCCATTAAGGAGTCATTTGGTCTTTTGTTGAGTACGCTGCTCCATATTTCATTGAGATGCATATCGGTCTTTCCACTGTCTGCCCGCGCCGCTATTCTCTATTCAACAGTGACCCATTGCTCCCTGCCATACAATCCTTCACCTTTCTGGGCTTAAAAGTAATTACCACTTTAATTTGCTGTCCGCTTTTGTGCATGCTGGAGTGGACGTAACTGACTGCAGAGCTGAGGCTGACGTGTCAGCTGACATGGTTGAGAAAAGTCTTAATTCTGGACCTCTGATTGTGGCCCAAGGGCCATATGTGGCCTGCAAGACCATTTCAGTGGCAGCTAAAAAAAAAAATCACATTTTGCAAGAAAACCACTCTCTACAATAATAAGCCTTCATTATCTTTGGTCCAGATTTGGTTCAATCCAAGCACAGTATCAGTACAACAGCATCAGTACAGACAAATCTACATTACATGAAAACTCATGGTCACAATAACTCAAATACACAGCAAACACTATAAATATTTTATTTTTTGTCCAATTACAAAAGTTGTTTATGGGCTTTTATTTATATTGTGTCCCGTCAAGACCTGACAATGTTTTTGCTAAATAAAAAGGGGTCGTTATCATCACTGTTATCCTCCGTACACCGCCGCATATGCTGCAAATAGCTTGATCCCAAAAATGACAAGGAAAAAAGGTTGGAAAAGGATATAGTTGTGTCTGTCATCTCTCCAGTGCACCTCAATGGCAAATATCAATAACAGTGGCTGACTGTGTTTTTCTGTTTGGACTTTGCATGTTTCTCCAGGTATATCAAGGTGGATTTCCACAAGGTATTGCCCATCAGCCCGAAACAAACAAAAATAAGTAAACAGCTCAGATTCTACTATCAAAAGACAAAAGGGACAGGGCCATTGAAGGCGCATACAGAGGGCAGATTTGACCATGGGAGATTCGAGTCTTACGTAAGCAAGGACCTGGAGAAATATTTATTTTATATTCATGTTGATGAATCTCAATGTTTGATGAGATAAAGGAATTTCAAATTGGAATTTGATATATAACCTGGGGGAGCTGACTGTGCCACAGACAGGGAGGAGAAAGACTGGCACTAAACTTGAAGTTAATTGTGCATATTTAAGATGCATGCTGTCTGTCCAAGACAGATTATTTCTCCTAAAGCTGTGTGTATTTCTTTAGCCCCTCACAGTGATTGACACATGATTACTGTATGCCATTTTAAATGCATTTAATGCAATGCATTTAAGGATCTTACCTTTGCTCAAACTTGGTTGATTAAGTTTGAGCAAAGGTGAGATCCTTATCTCCAGATCTTTTGATTCTAGCCTAACCTAAACCTGAACCAATATGTGACAGAACTACTGAATTACTATGGAACAATGTTCATATTGCAACACATTACTCTTTGATTTTACAAAATGATTACAAACACTAATGTTTGTGAGTGTACAGTGGTTTCACAGCACCCCATCTCCTTCTTCATGCATGATCTCTATTAATATGTTAATATTTGTAATATATAAATGGTTTGTTTATGTTTCAGCACATTTGAATGCATTTAAATGTATATTTATGTGTCTGTGTTTACGGCGCTCCTCCCTTTGGTCCAATTACTCCAGAACCAATACCCCTTGTGCTTTCTAAAACCCTCACCCCTCTCACCTCACGGTCCCAGTGGCCTTTCCGCACGCACCCCCACCTCTGTGCTAGCTCCGACAGATTGTCCATCACAACACACAGGACCCCTCAAAGGACCTCTGGCACACCGTCCCGCTGCTAACTCATGGCTGCACCATTACCCCCTCCTCCTTCATTTACCCCTTTCCCCCCAGCACCGCTGCGCTCCACCTCTTTGGCTCTGCCCTCCCCAGTCCCAGGTGAGCTGACGACACAAGGCGAGCAGAAACACCAGTCGAATATTAATGGTTTGATCTGAATATTAATAAAGGATGAATCTTAATGACGATAAAAACAAAGAGCCCCATACGCGCGCGCACACACACACACACACACACACACACACAGGGGCAGGCACCGGTATCTGTCCTGCAGTGTAGATTAGTTAAAACAAGGCCTTATCCTCAGAGCCGCTGCTGTTAAAATGCTGAACGTCACATTGAAGACAAATGTGTTGTCTCAACTCCCCTGCTCAGTAAATGAAGACACCTCTCCTTTCCCACGTCCTTCTCTATCTCCTCCTGTTGCGCTCTTGATTTTCTTTTTATCTCTTCCTGCTCGTTTACCCCCCATCCCAGATCACACTTGCCCCCCTCTCCACTCTGCTTATTCTCACTGCGTGGCTTTCTCACTAGATTACCCGGCGTCTTTTCTCGCGCGCAGCCTCACCTACTCGATATTCCAGCCTTGTTCTCTTGCAGTCTCCAGCACAACTTTCTGACCCACTTCCTCTCTCCTCCCTGGCCTCCTGATCAAAGCCTGCAGGACGGCATCGCCTTGGGCAGCGGAGAGGGAGCGCGCACCAGCAACGGGGGGATGAAGGGATCGCAGCTGAAAGAGGGAGAGAGGAAGAGACAGATAGAGAGGGGATAGAGAGTGGGAACAGAAGGATCACAAGGACGGGGAGAGGAGCCAGGTGCCCTCTCAGCCCAAGGACAAAAGCTCTTCCCCAACTGATCACACGCACGCCCTGGCCTGTCAGAGCCGTCACTCCCGCTCACCAACGCCATGTGTGACGACAGGGATGACATTAATGTGTTGGGTTAAAAAAATGTTTTTTTTATTTACGCCCTGGAACAGCAAATTCCCCCAAAACAAGTCAACTTTACAAGTGATGGCTATTAAAATTCAGCAGGATGTTTAATAAATTACACTTTCAGATTGCATGTTGTCCCACCTTGTTATTCTGTTTGGAATTCATGTTGCACAGGTGAGTGGTGCCAATGTGGATCGAGGCGGCAGGTGTCAGTCGGGGTACGAACTTACTGTCCATCATGGGTGTCATCTCGACATCTGATTTTATTTATTGCAAAATAAGTAGCTTAAACTCCAGGCCAAGTTTTGGTATTGCTGTTTTGAAGATGCTTACTTATCAAATCTATATAAGTATATTTTCAGAGGGTGACCTCTAAACCCCCTTGAAGAATTAAGCCTGTACTTTGTTGGCAATAATGACTCTGGGGTTTCTATAAAGTAAAGTACACTCCTGCCAAAGTCATTATGAGCATAATATTGTGTTAGTGAATTAAATACAAACTGATTATTTAGTAATGATATTGAATTACCTATGGGACTCTAATGGCTAAAAACCTTGCGCCTTTGTGAGTATTGAAGTCTGTTTAAGAAAGTATGGTGTTAAATACAGTCACCAAACCCAGCTGTCTACATAAGAGCTCATAGATTTTTAACAGCACTGTCTGGCCTTGGTCTTGGTTGAGATGTGAGGTGGTGAATCTAAGGTTTGTCTATCCCAGCGGCCATGTCTGTGGGCAGTCAGGGCAGAGAAACAGCAGCCCATTTGTACGCAGCGAGTGAGGTGGCGTGTACCTTAACATTCCCCACGCATCCCGACAAAGAGCACTAATTATAAATAAATTAGGGACACGACACGGTGTGCCACAGGGGGACGAGCTGGAGCCGTCGCCGAATAGAGAGACTGATAGAGAGGGAAGAGGTGGCGGTGTAAAAGAGAAACAGCGGCAGGAGGGAGGGGGGCAGACAGGGAGAGATTTGGCAATGACACAGAGGAGCAAGTGGAAGAAGAAAGTAGATAAGAAAATAGAGGAATGGAGCATGAGAGGCCCCAGGATGGAGCAGGGAGAGGCGGGAGTAACTGAGTGCGTATACAAGGCTCAAACCTCAATATACAGCCTCCACGTCCATACAGCCACAACCAACAAGCAAGCAAGATTCTCCTGAGATGACGGCAGCAGGGCAATATGTCTGAGAGCAGATAGTAAATGTTGGCAGGGAAATTAACCAGCGAAATGAAAAACTAGCACCAAGATGAATTCACCACAATAGTAAAAATAAATGGCCTCTGTCAAAAGATTCAAGCTGTTTTGTAAGTAAATAATAGTTGCACAAGCGTGGAAATTGATCAATAATCATAATGCAGAGATGGCTGGCGGACTGTAGGTCGCCGCCACTCACTCTTATCGTACATGACTTGTCAACCAGGTGAGTGCATATGGAGTGTGCGCGTGTGCCTGAGCGCGGGGGAAGGAGGCAGGCGCGCTCCTCTTTCCGTAGGCACTTGGGCTGGTGTGTTTACAAACCGATGTGGTGTTTGTTGTGTGGAGGGAAGCGCTATCTAAATGGATCGCACTTCAGAATTGTGCCACCATTTCTCACAAGACGGACAGACAGACAGAGGCAAAAAACAGGAGTGGCAACAGGCGCTCAACTGAAGGTTATCCGCCTCGAGTTCAAAACTGATGAGCGTCGCCACAGAAGGGAAGAAATAGCCGGCGCAGTGTCTTTTTTTATCGTGATGTGAATGAAAGAAAGTATAGTAACAACCGGACAATAACGCTCCCAGTTCAATCATTAATATTGCAAAGGCCAAACTCCAGACTGAAGCTTAGGCGGTCAAAGGGCAGCAGTCAGTGACACAGACAGAGGAAGGTCAACTCCATGGCCCAGCATTGACCCAGTGACATGACGCCCCTCGCTGTCTCCATGACAACTGAGCTGCAGACGAACATGATGTCAGACCGGTGGCCGGGTCAAGATCGACGGTATAAGGTCATATCATCAGAATCAGAATCAGAATCAGAATAATTTTTATTGCCACGTAAGTAACAAACAAAGTTACCACTTGGAAATTGTTTTGGCAGAGAGCGTGCCACTTCGCCATTAAGGCGCTGTGACACTACAAGTCGAGTAGTTTAAATATATTTAGAGCAATGGATAGTGAGATAGTGGACGACTTGAATGGCGTTTCCAGAAAATGTATATTCTTTGATTTTTTTCCAGAAAAAATATTCTTTACTTATCAATCTCAGGATATTGATGATGTCTGTAGATTAGAACAGCCATGAATATAGATTATAGACATATTATGCAAAACATAGCCTTGTTTAAGTTGAATTGATGTAAATTAACCCTGGCATGTGTAGGATATTGACTAATAGGACTTAAAGCAGAAGCCTCATTCACAAGCTGCACAGTTATGCTTGGATTAAACCAAGTCTAGACCAAAGCTAAAAAGTTGTCTAGTTATTGCAGACTTAAAAACAATCATTCAAATTTGTGTTTTGGATTCAATGTTTAGAATAAAATAAATGCTTTCTTGCAGGCCACATTTGGCTTTGTGCTGTACTGTGGCAACATGGTCCTATAAGCACTGGTAAAAGCTCCCCTCCTCTGGCTCAGGTGTACATGAAAGCTGTCCATTATCAAAGTGTGTAAAGTTGGAGTTTAGAGAAGAGAGCAGGCAGAGGAAAGGTAAAGAGAGAGGAAAGACAAGAGAGGAGCAGCTTGTTGCATTAGCATTCTGGTCGCACAGAGGCTGTCTGTTTGCCTCTGGCAGCGGCACAGAGAGGGGGACACTGTGCGCATCCTCACTCAGCTCGTCTATCTCTGCCTCTGTCACTGTCTGTCTCTCCACCTGTCTTTCTCTCCTCTACAGTCCGCTCTGTCTGAGGGCGTTCACGGCACACACCTCACCCCCAAGTCAGCTCATATTTCCCTATCACTCTATCTACAGCTGTCATCTGATTGTTTATGTTTCTTTGGCTAATTCCTGCCTGCCGGCCGTTTCGCTTCACCTCAGAGACCTCTCACAGTCCTTCACTCTACAGATAAAAGCTTTCTGAGACACCACCAAGATATTCTGCAAGGACAGTATTATAATATATCATAATATATGCTTAAATATCCACCAACAAACAATGACATCAGACATAGTATCTTGTTTTTCTTAGTTGCTTTCGGCCTTGTTTGTGAAAAATCTAAAACTCAGAAATGTATCAGAAAGACACTTTCAGCAACATACTGGTCATACCTGCACATGTGAGCCCTCAAACCTCTAAAGCTAAGCAGGGCTGGGCCTGGTGAGTACTGTGGTGGGAGACATCTGGGAACACCAGGTGCCATAGTGGGGCAGCTACGGCTGAAAAGTGCTAAACTGCCGTTGTGTTCTTGGGCAAGACACTTCACCCACATGACCTGAATGAGTCTGTTGTGTGAGAATGGTTGGTGGTTGTACTGGTTGCCTCACTTCTGTCATTGTGCCCCAGGGCAGCTGTGGCTATATTAGTAGTTTATCACCACCGTATATGGAGTGAATAATGACATGTGAAGCATCTTTGAGTGTCCAAAAAAGCACTAAATAAAACCAATGCATTATTATTAGTATTATTATTATCATTATCATTATCATTGTTGTAGTGTCAAAGTGTAGCATTTACAGCAAGAGTGGTTAGCACTGACACTTCAATTACGAGACTGAACTGAGCCTTCTCCCTGTGTCTGGTCCTTCAGGCACTCTCCGTTTTCCCCAGCAACCAAACAAATGTACATCACAGAATATAGAAGGCGTAGTGATGATAATGACTTTGTCATTGATAGTGTTATAAAATGCTTTCACACACAAAAATCCGCTTTTAGCAAATGTAATTAAAATGCTAAACTAAAGGAAGAGTTGGCGCTAATCTGAGATTTAATATGAAATGCCCAGTGAAGCTGAGTCACACAGGTCTAAATGTATTCAGGTCACAGTCATTGGACGCCAGTCAAGAGCAAAGAGACGGGCACACTGTTGCCATGGCAATTTTAATAAACACCAGCCTTGACCAGTATGGGCATGAAGATACATAAAAAGCAGTCCATTACAGAGTATCACTTTCACTTTCAATTATTCATTGAATGCATTAAAGGTTATATTTTGAATTAATTATTCAATATAGTTTCTGCTGTAAATGAATACAAGTGAAGGACTAGAAGCGCAGCCAAAAAGAAAAACATATCTTCACTTTTATTGGTCTAGCCTTTAACAATTTACAATCGGATTTCAGAATTTAGTTCACCCAAGGTTGCTGATATATTGCGTAGTATGTGAAAAGATACATAGTTTAAAAGACCATACTGGACGCATGTGTTTATTAAGAATAAGAGTAATCTCCTGCGTAAAAACCCGTCTCAGCTTTAAATACTTGACACAAACTGTTTTCAGAATTCAACTTCAGAGCAGCAGTGCAATGTCATTCACAAAACAGACCTTCACTCAAAAATCTTTCTACACAACCCTGAGTAATATATACCATGAATAAATGAAAATAAGAAAGCACAGCCATTTGTCTGAAATAGAACAATAGTTTTTGGGTTTGTGACTTAAATGTACCCTGGTGAAAGAAGTCTTTTAAGAAATACAACTTTTGTCAGCGTTTTCTACCCAACATTTCAACACTGTAAACAAATGCAGTGCACAGGGGAACTTCTTTTCTCCTAAAGCTAAAACAATACATTGTGCATTCAGAGGTCAACCACAAAATTCTTGGATTTTTTTTTTAATAGTGATAATAATAATAACAAAAACATACTATAATACCTTACACAAAAAGTATGTATTGTAAAGTTTATATTGATTTTATATAATAACATTTGAGCCGTATTAAGTTGAACAAGAAACATTTATGACTTATCTTTAATTACATCTTAACTGACTGCAGACTGGGATTATACTTCTTTAGTTTTTATAAAACTAAAGAAGTATAATAATAATTTTACACAAAACACTGTGGTATAAAACATCTTTTTCCTGGAAAACTACCGTGGAATCCCAGAAGTTTACTCTCCATTCACACACACAGTCATACACCAGAGTACACAGACCATGGGTGTCTTGCCCAAGGACACACAGAATCATTTACAAATGGGTCCTGGTCCTGTTTAGATTTCTGTGAAAGGGACAGTGCACAGAAACATATGTAGTGCAACAGATTATAGCTCGACAGCAAGTTTCTATCTGCAGCCCCTGGTTTCATTGCAAGACATATTTCAGACTTGCATCTACAGACAGACAGACTGAACATATCTGATTATCTTAAAAAAAAAATGTTTTAAGCAGAATTTAAGAACTTAAGCAGAGTTACCCCCTATGTCCTGTATTGTGTCCTTTTGATTTGTCTACTTATTATTTACATTCTTGTTCTTAAATACATGCTTTGCTATTTAAACAGCTTGGTTTTTGTTACCTCCCTAACCCTAGCTGAGCTGGCTTGGAACGGTGGCACTTAAAGCATTTGGAAGTTGTACTCAAGGATGAACCAGACTTCCTGAGATCCGCAATTCTCTTCCCGATATATTGACAGATATTTTTTATTACCCCATGTTTCATTGTCAGACAAACAAACAGTAGCCTCCAATTAACCTATTCATCCAATTTTGTTTGTATAGCCCTAAATCACAACAGTCGTTTCTCAGGACTTAACAAAACTGCTGAAATTGCCAACACAGATCAGAGAATGAATCAGTTCAAACACAACAAATATATAACAAATAGGTATAGGTCCATAGGGGAGTTTGGTCATGACGTTGCAGGGTTTTCTCACATACACACACACTTATAAAAAGTAATACAAAAGTCTCTCAATATTGTAGCATTGAGATAAATAAGAAAAACGAATACTAGAAAATTAGATGAGCACTTGCACAGCACATATTTTTTGGATATTTTTCACTACCGAGATCAAAAACCACTCGTAAATGTTTTTGTCTGTCTGTGTGTGGAGTAAAACTTTGGAATAAACTGGACTCACTCATACCTACTCCAAGAGGCAAAGTCCTTTTGCTTACTTCCTGGATCCAGGCCGTTACATTCGATTGCTCCAAAAAGGACGACACAATTTATGTGGTCATTTGGAATATTGACCCAAAAAAGACAAATGTGGAATCAAATTACTGCCTGCACATACCACAGTTTGAGAAACACCGATGTAGAGTAACAGAAAAGCAAACTACAATAGTACAGAGTGATTCTCACAATCAAGAAACCACAAGAGCTCAAGAGCAATTCAACATAAACAACTAATGATAATATTCTGTATAATACTCCGATGATTATTCCGCTTTATTGGATTAGCTTTGATTATAATGGAGGCTAAGTAAATCATAAGAGACCAGTGAAAGCCAAGTCCGTACCACAGCAACTGAGACCAAAAGCATTCAAACAAATTAATAGTCCATTAAACAAAGCAAGAAAACCCAGGCCTGTGTGTGCCTTAAAAGCACATTAGCATTTGAAGAGAGCAGAGTCATTTATCTACCGCTGGACTGTAAGCACAGGCACAAACTCCAGAGCGAGCCTCATGTTTGTGTTTTTATATACAAGTGACATCCGGTCGAGGTCTTAATCCCCCAAAGTAGTGTAAGTGATGGTCCCACCTAACCCTGACGCCATCAATTGTCGCCTTTCTCGTTCCTACACGATGTCAGTGCAACTCATCCTTCTCATTTAAAAGCTACTGTATCTCCCTGTTTTCAATTAATCTACCGGTGTGCGCTGTTTGCCCTTCCACTTTCTTTCCTGGTCCCACATCCGTGCATCCATCTTGTTTGGCTTCGGCCCTGCCCCCCTCCTCGCCTCTCCCTCCGGCCCATAGGCGCTGCTCCGGTATTCCCAAAGTCATCTGCAATCAGACATCTTCAATGGATTAATTACACTGTTTTCAGCCAGGCTTGATTGAGCATCTAACATCTAACGGCCCACCTTTCTCCACCCACTTACACAACACAGCAGTCTTAAACGCTGCGCCTTTTCATTGCTTTCATGTCGTTGGCCTCTGCCATCGCCAGATCTTTCTCTACTTTTAACTCCAGACATCACCCCAACCTCCCGCTCCCTGGAATGACCATGGCGCACGCTCCCTGTCTTTTCCAGATGTAGAATCCCACTAATTGGACATCGATTGGAAGACGGCCTCGGCATGATCTAGTTGGAAAACCGGGATCACCTTAAGCATTGTTGATGTGTGTGCGCGACATAGGGGGAAAAAGGCAATGGATTCTTAAATATATTAACATTTCTTTCAACAACAATCTTGGTGTTATTCAATATATTTAAGAAGAAATTGCTTTTGGCCCTATCAAGCAATACATTGAAGGAAGGTGAAAAAGCAACCTTTCTGAGATTGATCAAAAGACAATCTTCATAATATTCACAAAGATTGATTGATTAATCAATTGAGTAAAGCTTTGATTAAAATGTTGAGTAATGCTGTTTTCCATCTAATCCCTCATTTGTCCAGAAGTGATACGTTCCAACAAATACAATTACACCGGGTATATTTTCCTCCCAGTTGTGGCAGTTACTACTAGTCTATTAAGGCATTTTCATACAATTATTAACTCTCAGATTAAAAGACAAATAACTGATGATAATGGCAATGTATTATCCTAAATACAATATTTATATTTCTTGAGCTACTGTGAATAGTGAATGATTATCACAGTCATGTAGATGATTTGGGTTTTAATCGAGTTTCTGAAAATTGTGCTTTGGAGCAATTGTATAATTAGCACAGTAAGAGGCCTCAGTGCGTGCTGTACTTATGAATAACAACAAATGTGATTTTTTTTTTTTTGAAAAATCAAAGAAATTTATTGCCTGTGAAGAATTCTTCAACAGAGAAATATCAGGGCTGCAGCTGAAATTAAGTGTCTATCGATTATTAGCTTTGATTTATCGAGTATTCTATTGCATTGTTAACTGCATATTTTAGAAGTATAGAAGTATGATTATCATTTCGTCACCTTCATAGACGTGTTGGGACAACGTAGGAACATTTCTGTGTAAAACAGAAACAGAAATTAGTTCTGTGCGCTCGATGTTCCACAGTTTCACATAGCAGTAGAAGTTCATCGAAATTATATACAGTAAATAAACTGATTAATCGAGGCAACCAGGATTAAAAAAAGAATATATATTATCCAGATTCATAGTCTCAATGTTTTGTGAACAGCTTTTCAGAAGTACAGAGGGGAGTTCTGCACATCTGTAACACTTCTTTACTTACACATAAATGCAGTGCATTTTTCACTGTCCCCTCCAACGCACACACCTACTCCGCATCAATCACGGGTCCCTGAACATAACCCCAAAAGCCGAAAGCTGCTTTGAGTCATTCTAAAATCATGATGGATGACAACTTCCCAAAGCAATCCCTCTGTGTGCCGGCATCATTTAACTAAAGGCGTCGTGCTGCCCCAACCAATTGCGTTCCTTTCATTCTGCCGCTTCAGTGCCGGACCTGCCTTTCACATCCCCCTGTAGGAGCCCAGGGACACCACCAGAGCCGCCCGCAAGAATGAGTCTTCCCCAAAGTTTCTGGTGGCGAATCCGCATTGTTGTTTCCTTCCACTAGTGGCAGAGATGAGATTTGAAGAGGTTAAGCTGACCTCGGGCTGGTGCTTTGGAGCTGGCTTACCCTGGAGTATGAGATGACAAAACATTTAGTCCGATCTCACTCGCAGCTCACTGACAGGCCGAAACAAAAGAACAGCCTCGGAGGAATTTAAAATCATTGAATGAATGTCAATTAATTTCACAGGACGGCGTTGGAATTGATTAGAATATAAAACGATCTTTCTTGAAAGCAGAGGGGAATTGATGTCCAAGGCCTTCAAACATAAGACAGAAAAATGACAAAATGAAAGAAAGACGGCTCATTTGGTGCGTCTCCGGGGTGCGCACTAGTGTGTGTTCAGGTGTGTAAAGTGTGTGTTTGTGAACTCAGCGGTTTGTTGCACGCTTGGCTGGCAGGCTGTGTGTAAAGTAATTAACATGATAGCCTCCCTCTCAGCCTGATAGCCCATTCCCTGCAGCGAGGTCGTTGGGCAGACACAAGCACACACCTGTCTCACGCACCGCGCCTCTCGATGCAAACATGTTTAACCCACATCCAGCTATAGCAACAAACATAGGGGCTTGGTCACTCACATACAACACAGAGCTGTCAAGCCATTCAGATATACCTGACAAATTATGCGCAAATTAGCTGAAAGGAAAAGCATCAGAAACAAAGAGAACTTTTAATGCCACGGTCGAACATATGGTATGGCCTAAGGGCTTTATTTATGAACAAAATAAATGTATTAGCATGCAGGTAGTGAAGAGCGACCAGGACAGTAAGACATGATGGAGGCAACGACAAATTATGTTTTATCATTGATCTGATTTTGTTACAGAACTATATGTTGTACTCCTAAATTTGTCACGCTATTAAACTCAAAACCTCAAATTGTATCTCAATTATTGGATATCTGAATCTGAAAGACTGCAAAATGATTCTGGTAGTTTATGCATTACACTGTAGAGCCAAAAACCTTTGTTCAGAATCCAGGTGAAATAGAGACATGATCGAAAGTGACAGCAGACCTGAGGTTTCACACCACTGAGGAAACCATATGGTGATTCAATATGGCACATAATCAACACTAAGACAGGACGAGTTGTGATAGTTTCATTTCATCAAATCATTCCACTTAAAATGAGGCAATTCTTCAAGCTGATAAGTAACAAAGTGAAGTAATGAGACCACTGGTGGCTGACACATGCTGACAAAATCCTTTCATTATTCTCCAATACAACCACTGGTCTTATCCGCAGCCTCGCCAAGACCTTTTCCTGTGGTCGTCTAATCCTGAGACAGTGGACCCAAACACCCCCTCAGCCGCACACAGAGCCTCATTTGCTGGAGGATTAGAGCGAGGGCACAGGGGTCAGAGAGAAGCCACCCAGCAGCCCCTAAAAAACACAAATGCACGGCCTACAGAGGCCAACACACACATTAGCATAGTGTGGACGAGACGCTGCTATAAAGTCCCAGCATAACAGCATTATGCATTCACATACTGTAGGTGCGAAGGCGGCGAGGCAGACACGCACCAAAACACAGACAAGCATTTGCATGAACATGTGTGCAACAAAACAAACTGACCTTACTCCAACTCAAAGAAATACTAATTCCTTTTCTGACTTTACAGATCAGGGTCAAAGAACTTCATGAGAGGAGAAAGTTAGCAGGTAAAGGTATTGAGCAGAGACAGGTTAACAAAGTGAGGAAACCAAAAGTGAGAGAGGAAAGCTGGTTCTGAAAAGTTGTAAAGGGCCTGCGGAGGGTTTAAATGCTCTCCTCCCTCGATTACTGCCTTTCCCCTCACACTTTCTCTCATGCCTTTCATGAATTAAAAGCACGACCGGTCTGTAGGGAGAAGCATAGTTAATTCTGATCAGATCTCCTCCTCCCCTCCCCGCCTCGCACCACCTTCCTCCCTTCTTCCCTCGGCGACGGTTGCCGTGCAGTCTGACAGACGGAGATGGGATCTGACAGTAAACAGGCGTGTGGATGCCCGGTACGTGATTGACACGTAGGCAGGTCGGTGGGGGCCCGCCCCCCTCCTAATCCTGCCCTGTCAGCTCTAATTGGGGAGGTGGGGCTCTGTGTCACCAAGGTGACTGATTGACAGGACCTCAGCTTTGCATAGATATGAGGAAAAGGTGGTGAAGTTCACGCATGGCATAACACTGTTAACTCTACTATACTGCTAATAGAGATATGAGATGGGGGGTGATGGGCCCCGAGCAGGTGAGCTCTCATGAACATGACTGAGCACACAAATAAACCCACAACAATAACCGTGAACAAAATAGACATGCATACAAGATGTCTGAACGCCAAGTGCATCTCCAAACACTGCAGCTCCAGCTCGCACAGATGAGGAGCAGAGGAGTTCAGTGGCACTGGGGCATTGATACGGCAGAAACCAGGAGCACCTCACTCTTTTGGGGGCCAATGAACCAATGGAGAAGAGCCATAACACTCTGACCTGTCAAACAGCACTGTATGAGCTAATTAAACCACTGCCTATAGAGAGATTTGCATATACAAGATGTCCACCTGGATACAAGTGATTCTCAATAAAGAGCTCTATGTTCAGAAGGTCAGGTCTCCACAGAGCACAAGAAGAACAAATGGACATCACTGGACAAAAGACAACGCACAGAGGCAGCCAGAGAATATTCATCACTTAATCTTGCACTTTGAAGGTACAACGTTCTGAGGTAAAGCAGAATTATTTTGTGTGTGAATTAAGTCTGTTGCTCGAGGCATTCACACAGAGAATCATTAAAATGTTAAACATGAGCACTTTACTGTTTGAGTTTTAATGTGGACTTTTACCAAGGTAATTTCTGCAGAATAATATAGCATACATAAACAAGCAGACTACTGATTTGGTAGGTTATCACAAACAATTCTCCATTCTCTACAACAAGGTGTGACAAGAAAGGACAGGACAATAAAAAGTACAAATGAGCCATATTTAAAAAGGTTGTATATATTGTGTGTAAATATTGGCACGGTGTGTATTTTGAAATGGTGTTCATCTACTTTAAACTTTGGTAAAAACGTTTGCTTTAACTTTTGTGGTTTCAGCGCCGTGTCTTGCTCCATGAACTGGAGTGCTTTATAAAGGTGATTCTACATATGACTATTCTAAGATTATCCAACTGCTTTTAAAATACATTGAAGAAGATTCCTTTTAGTCATATTGTACAACTCCATGGATCAAACCTGTATACATATAAGGGTATATTTATTAAGTACATTTTAGCAGATGGATTGATAATAAACCCATAGAGTGGGAGGCGAGAGAAGGCATTTGTCAAATAATCAGCACCAGGAGTCAAACTATCACTGAAGTTATACAGGTTCTGATGTCCAGGAACACTTCATACATCCATGGGTTTCCCCCCTGTACAGCGGCAAAACCCCTGTTGTTAAGAAGATGTTTTTCAGGTACCCCAGGGATCAAACCAAGGTCTCGATCATTAAGACCTCATTGAAAAGTTTGTTTTCAGCTTTTGCAAATATTATTTTACATGATGTAGGTTTTTTAATCTAATTATTGCTTTCTTTTAACTTAACTTTAAGATTGTGTGGAACAAAAAGATCCAATTAATTGCACTTTGTGTTCAATGTTTATAATGCAAGAAAATGTCTTCTAACGTGCCACCGCAGCCCATATCTCTTACCATCAATGTTTGCAAGTTTGAATATGTGATGTTTGTTTATTCCTACTGTCCTGTAGCGTGGCCAAAGATCACACTGATATCTCCCCTCGAATAAAGGTTCTCTTATCTAATGATATTCTTCATGTACCCTCTGTAATAACCCTCGTGGACAAACACTACATGACTTTTTAGTTAAATACCATCCTGTGTAGCAGGTCTTATGCCCACAGCAACAAGTTAGAGCTCACTTATTTACCAAGTCACACATTTATTAGTGATGAGCATTTTGTCCTAGGCTCCAGTGTAAGGGATTTAGATCTAAATGCTTCTCTGCTCCAGACTCCACAGACCGTTACTGTATATTCTGCATTTATTACAGCGATGGTGTGTGCGTGTGTACCACCTACATTTCTGTGTGCATGCTATTGATTGACAGCTGCCACTGACCTGTGCCAGTCAGAGTGCCATGCAGCGGAGCGGCGGGGTCGATCGCTGCGGAGACGACCTTCGCCCTCATCTGCATCCTGCCTTCATTAGCAGAGCCAGGCAAGGAGAATAACAACCCAATAAATTAATAAAGAGAAAGAGAGAGAAGGGCGCGGGAGGGGCGAGGGCGGGCGGCTGGAGCAAGGGTAAACCGGGAGGGAAATGGGGAGGAGGAAACCGACCGGGGCAAAAGACAGGCACACGCTGGGGCTGCACGATTGCTCACAATCGAATCGCAAATTTCACGGACGCAAATTGCAAATTGCAACAACTGCAATTACTCAAGGTCTTTGAAAACAAAATGTGGACTTTAGACAAGCTTTACATTTGGAAATCTGTTAATGAAAAAAGTCTCTTTCATCTTGTTGTCAGACAGAAGCATTCTCATTCCAAATGAGACACCACATCTTTCTCATAATTTATATAAACTGTCAAAATGTGCACAACTCTAGTCCAACAACAAGAATGTCGCAAGAAAATATATAAAAAAGGCAATTTAATTCTAGCGTTTGGATTGGTTTAATTTTTTTGCAGTGAATCTTCTATTTCTATTTGGAGAAAACTTTCATAAATGTGCAGGAAGTGTATTTTAGGTTAATGCTTGATATGTACACGTTTTCAACTAGAAAAATTACATTTAGATATTTTACTAAAATTGTGCAGCCCTACTAAGTATAACAAAAACATAATTTGACGTGATGGAGATTCAGGTGAATTTGGAAGATTTATAACTAAAGACTACTTAAACAAGCGTTCTTATAAAAGTTATATTATTGCAGTGAATGTTTAATTTCCACTAGATAAACATATTATTATAGGTTAGAACTCTATAAACATATTCTGAATTAAGAATGAGGTAATAACTTTGTATCTTTGCTTTTTTCAAATGTTACTCTCAAGTTGTTACTTTTATTATGAACAAAGTTTGACATTTTAAACACGGGATATTGAACATTTAGTCAGAAAATGTCACAATTAGTTAAGTTTTCCTTCACCCGCACTCAGGAGAATATAGTTGGGGAGATGGAGTCAACTCCTGTGGTCCAAAAAACATAAGGCTAAAAGATGGACAGAAGGTTTAACTCAAGACAAAACTCTTGCAAAAACACAAAATGTCCAACAAATGTGTCCATAAACAGTGTTGACGAAAGCATCTTGGGGGCTGTCGCTGTGGCTCGGAGCCCTGCCCAAACAGAGCTGATACATTACCATCTGCACCATCTGTTCTTAAATGCCAAGATGTACAGGGATGCTCTCACCAGCCCGCGGAGCCACATATCGATGGGGCCAAATGTTCCAGATTTTCTTCCCTCTATATTCATGAACTTGGACCAATGCTTGGTGTCCCAACCGCACGCCGAGATGCTTAATAAGGAATGAGGTTTAATTGTGCTGGCTTCATATTGTGTGAAAAAAAGACTACAGGCTGGAGAGGATACACTCACAGGCACATTCACACAAACGCACACAGGCCAAGAGAAGCTGTGTAAATAAATGATGAAGGAGGATGTTACGTGAAGATAGACTGTTGGTTCGGAGCCGTCCCTTGAGGAGAAACGATGCTTTCTCATGTTCTGCAGACTTGTACTACATACCTTCCTATATATGATTGTGTCTTCATCAACAACAGAGGATGTGATTACACCAAGATTCTGAGTGAAACCGCTGTAAATATTTGAGACATGCAGGTCCTGCCAAAAGGTTTAGTCTACATTGAGTCTGAATAGTGGAATTTGGGATTTTGATGTGACTGATGAGATAAGATATGACAAGAGAAGCGATATTCACCCCAAATTAATATGTACGGTGGAACCAGGAAAAGTACAAGTAAGAAAATATATGTATAAAAAACCAGAATTGATCAGATTTGAATATTCATTATTCTTAAAATGTTACTCAATAATAAAAACGTAACGCAACTGATCAATTATTGAAACAATTGTCAGCTACTACTACTGTTTTTCGAATCTTGCACAGACTTACACATTCTGAGAAGAGGTTTGACTCGGTTCTGACTCGGATAATCCCAGGGGCACCACTTGAGCTTTGTTTTGGTCAAATAAAAAAATTTTAAATCCCATTTTCACTGACCTTTTTGGATCTCAACAACAAATCGTTCAATTGTAAGAATAATCGGGCAACTAATCGATTATCGAAAGAGTTGCTACTTACAGCCTGAGTCAATTACCTCTGTGTGTTATTTGAATGTAAACGTTGTAGAGTGTGCATTGATGTTGAGAGGTTTCAGAGGCGCTCACAGTTGAAGCATGCCAACCGCAGTCAGTGAACTACATTTGGAAAGCTAATAGCACCATGATATGGGCCAGGCCTGTGTGTGAGAGGCATCTCCCTGAATGAGCGGCGCTGCCTGCTCAGGGTCGGAGAGCGTGAGCGCTGAAGATTGAGGCCTGCTGCGCTGAGGAGGAAATTCTCAGGGCGATCGATGCAGAGGATTACGGCGGCTTTGAGGGCTCAGAGGCCTGGATCTGAGCAGTATTCTCAGTGGGGCCCTTGGGAGAGCCGCTGAGCAGAGCTGAAGGGTTAGAGGAGAGAGGGGAGACGGGGCTAACCTGAAACTGTCAGGAGGCTTCACACAGGGTTGGCCAGTCTGGGAATAAGAGGGCTCTCCGGTCCCAGCTGACATTATAAATGACGCTGCCTCTGCCACCCACTCGGACAAACCCGCACTGACGACTGGACCTGGGGAGCGACACAAGAATAAGTGACTGTTGCGCATTAACAAACAAACTTGATAAAAGTATTCAGCACTGACTTCTGATTTCCATTCTGCCAAATGGATAGTTGTCTTCAGACTTGATGAGCCACACAACAAAAGGCTGGCTGCGTTTGAGTGTGTGTTTCTGATGCTCATGATTGGTCAGCTCGCCGCTCTCCCCCGGGTGCACACGGCTGGATCCATGATTCATTTTGCAATGAGGGGAAGAGGGGGAAAAACAGCAGCGCGCATGTGAGAGAAGAAACAGCCAAGACCACTGGGAAATTATACGGTGGAGCGGCGTGGTGGATCTGGAATTAAACGGCATAATTAATCAAGCAAAAAACAAGCACGTTGCTCATACATTTATTATTTGCATTTTTTTCCACTTCAGGAGATGTAATCAGCAGATATATGTCGGGGGCCTGAGCTGTTTTATCGTGACCACAAGGCCAACTAGAGCAGTAGCTCTGACTTAAGTGTAATGTGAGCTATGTTTTCTCCACACCAAGCACAACACAGTGGCCCCTGCTTTCTCTGTAACAATAACAACATCAAAACAACAATTGCTTTGTTTCCTGCGCTGTCCAATAAATTAGATTCACAATTCTTTCTTTTCTCTGCGGAGTGGTTTAACATTATTGTCAGAAAACCAAACAGCAAGAACCGGCACAAAGAACAAAGCTTATGTGCATCTCACCTAAACATTTGAGGCTGTTACCTCAAAAGTCACATGAGGTTATCGTAATTGTTCTCATTAGTTCATCACTGTTTGAGATGTTCTCGGATCAGACGCCGTTTTCCCCTTTTGGCAGAGGTACATGTGGTGTGGGCACAAATCATATGGCTTATTTAAAGCTCTGTTAGGCATCACATGGAGCTCACACTTCTCATCTATCACGGCGCTCTTATGGACACAGGCCTCGTTTAAACATGATGAATGCTGCGGATCTCCCTGTATGCTCAGCTGATGCATCATTTGCATCTTTGAGAGTAACTTTTATAAGTAAGTAGTACTTCTTTGTGTTATTTATGTTGCCTAAACACATAACTTTCCATTGATGTAAAGATGAAACAAGGCAATAAGATGCAGATGCAGGAGGGTCTGTGGACTGTTAGAGGGTCTAGAAAGAAGGACTGTGGTGATGATTCAGGACACTTTAACATTCTACACATTCTGGACATTTATCAACATTAATGGACATTGGTCAACTCTCCCTATGGACTCATACATATTTGTTCTATATATATTTTGTTTTTTAACTGTTTGATTCTATGATCTGTGTTGGCGATTTCAACGGTTTTGTTAAGTCCTCTGAGATGACTACTGCTGTGATTTAGGACTATACAAGAAGAAAAGAAATAAAAAGATGAATGCGCTTGTACTTTAGCTCATAAAACCCCAACAATTATTATTAAGTGGCTCCACTGGACAGGCTACTAGTTTTTGGTCTATATGTTTTTAGAATGAGGCGGTACATTTGTAATAATTTCCAATTGTATCTGTCACTCTATGTCAGATACAATGTTGTTAAAAATTAGAATTGAGAAAAGTCTAGCAAACTGACATATATATATAAAAAAAATTGTCCACTCACCTTTGGCCCTCCGCGGGCGGTTATCCCTCTCTAAGCTCGGGTCCTCTACCAGAGGCCAGGGAGCTTGAGGGTTCTGCGCAGTATTTTTGCTGTTCCTAGCACTGCACATTTCTGGACCGAGATGTCCGAGGTTGTTCCGGGGATCCGCTGTAACCACTCATCTAGCTTCGGGGTCACTGCCCCGAGTGCACCGATCACCACGGGCACTATTGTCACCTTTACCCTCCAGGCAGCTGGATAGCTCAGTTGGTAGGGCACAGGACTGGGACCTGGGAGGCCAGGGTTCGAATCCCACCGGGAGCACATTAACACCAACATCCAGTGAGGGTCCTTGGGCAAGACCCTTAATGCTACTGCCTAACTCATAACCATGAAGGTACAAATAAGCAATGAGATGCCGGATCAGCCGTCGCCCGGCCAAACAAGGTCTGCGTCAGGTGCTGGGGAACCAGAGCACCTTGATGAAAAGTGGGCTACTGGAACAAGGCGAAAGTGGATGAGATATATATATATATATATAGGTTTTTTTTAAAATAGCTTGGAGATTTTCTTTAGACACTATTTCCATAAGCGTATTGAACATTTATGCACGCTCCATAGTATCCTTCTGGGATTGTAGGCCACATATTACTTTCTCTTATCTTTATCCGGAATGTCTGCCTCTGATTCTTGCTGCTGTGTGGAAGCAGGGCTGAGTTTGTCTCATCCTAGAGGTATAGATTCAACAGGCTTATAGAGAAAAAGGCACGCACATGTTAATGCTCAGATGATGATGCTTGACGGTTTATCTGATATCACTGGAGGGTTCACTATGGGTCGGGTTACGACTTATGTTTAGGGTTATATGTCCAGGATCAACTTTGACATTGATCCTGGCCTCTTAATTGTTGATATCAGATCGTGCATGTATGGCCTGTCAGGTGATGCTACTATTACACTTCTGCAGTTTTTTTTTTTTTGCCTATTCACTCACTAGCCATCTCCAAAGTGCATTACTGCTTAAGGGTCAGGGTCGAAAGGCACTTAGGGCGATGGTTGCATTGGCCTATTTCTCATATGCAGCACTCATAAGATGAAGAGCGCAGAAAGTGGTAATTATAGGATTTGATGGCCTCTTTTTTAACCCGTGTCGCCGATTCGTGCTTTCCCTATAGCCATTATGCGTAAATACATCCGGAGAGCAGTTTGAAACGTATCACTTTTCATGTGGTCAATATGGCTTGTTCCTAGAGAACCGTCATCAATCGCGGTATCAATATGGAAATAGCGCTGCGACCCAGACATTAATCAATGGGCTCCTGGGGGAGGCAGGGGAGGCCAGGGCCACCTCAAAGCATCAATGAGACAGATCGGCCCGCAGTCAGGCTCGGACAGTGCGTATTGATAAGAGCATTTCCACCTGTAGCAGCGCGCGTGCACAGACTCCCTCCAGCACGCGCGCGCTCCCGGTCACATCTGAATGCAATGGCCGCCGCGGCAGCTGTGAGCTCCGAGCGCAGAAAGACACGCTTGAACGGGGCTACGTGCTTCGACTCATCATAAGTCCACTCTCTTATTCTCCATATATGTCCCCTTTCCTCCCCTGCTTTCCCTCTGCTGCTACCTCACCACGTAAAGCCTAAACAAGCAGCTCACGTACTGCGCTACAAGGACTTCAAATTAACTTCTTTGTCTTTATTCCGAGACTTACTTTACTTCACTCTCTGGAGTTTAGTCGGACCTATTTCTTTCGCAAACTTCAAACCGATGGGGAGGAAGGGCTTCACATCAATGCGGAAGTCTCCACGTGGGTCTGTCTCAGCCCGAGCGGGATTATGAAGAAGTCTCAGCGCGCGCATTCACATCTTGACCTAATAATCAATTAGATGAGTTTCCCCCAAATTCAAGGGAAGCGCGTGGCGGGTCAGGCTTTAAAGTGAGGTATGGGCGCCTCCTAGTGGCCAGGCTCTGAACGCGCAGCTTGCACACTAGTCTGTGGCTGAGACTAGGCTCAAATAGAAGGGTATCAATTTAATAAAAAAAATCCATTCTATTTCAAATCCAGTTTTATGGAATTTGACCATTTTGATCTTGTGATCTTGTGAGCGACAGTAGCTCAGTTGGTAGAGCACTGGCCTTCAGGCCTGAAGGTCGTGGGTTCAATTCCCACCTCCACACCTTCTCCACCGACTCCCACTGATGACTGCTGTCGTTGTGTCCTTGGGCAAGACACTTAACCCCACTTTGCCCAAAGCCCCCACTGAAAGATCAAGGCTATGCTCACACTCAGAGAGCAGCCGTCCTCCTGTGGACTCACCACCTGCAGAGGGTCAGTGAGGGGCTGGTGCTATGAGACTTGGGTGGCATCTCTGACTGCCACCCCCCTGACCCAGAAATGGATTAAAGGGAAGAAAATGGATGGATGGATGGATGATCTTGTGATTGTGCTAAATTATACAAATTAAATCGTCCCATGTTGTTACATTACAACAAATGTAGACCAGTCACACATCCCCGTCATTCCTCATTCCCCCATCAAGAATATTTAGCCACGTTCATATTTGGCTTCTGCACAAACCCGCCGCCCTCTTCCCCATGTGACACATTTTAAAGGCTAGAGTTCAAGGGTCCGGTGTAGTGTGTGCACACAGGATGTTGCCCTTTTCTCTCCCAATCATCCTCCTCTCTCTCGTCCAGTGCCAGAATGCACCACAAAGGTCATGGTCATGGATTTCCTTAGGTTTGACTCTATGAAAAGGTCAGCTTAGGGCACCAGGAAATGGCACCGAGGCCTTGTTGCAGCCCCACATTACCAGAAATGGCAGACACCAAACAACTCTCACCAAATCTGTGCAGGACAGACCCAGGAGTCAACATGACCTCGTCTGGAGGGCCCAGGGGATGTGCTCATGCTCACACATGAAATTTCAAATGGACAGGCGAAATAATAATGGACAGACAAAACAATGATGTGCAGGTTTAAAAAAAATAAATATATAATATATATATATAAACCAATACACATTGTATTTAAAATTAACTATTTTACAGAATATCCCCTAATGGAATTTATTTAGTTTGAAGAAACGTACATGTAGTATCTAACCACACTAAACCAGCAATGGGTGATTTGAGTCTTATTTTTATCCTGCAAATCATTTCATTTCTCATTTCATTTTCAAGCCCTTTATTTTCCATTTCTGGGTCAGGGGGGTGGCCATGAGAGCCGCCACCCAATGCTCATCGCACCAGTCCCTCGCTGATCCTCTGCAGGGGGTGAGTCCACAGGAAGATGGCTGCTCTCCTGATCACCTGCAAATCATATCAAAATATATTTCTGATTCAACACAATACATCCATTTAACAGAAGAGACAGGAAGCTTTATTTACAAGATTTGTTTTATTAACTATAATACAGATCACATAAGGCCTTGTTGTATACACCATTCCCATTGCGACAAATTATCAAACTCTGCAATAAGAACACGTTTTGTAAATGCTTTTTTTTCGTATCTTTACAGTACTTAATTTTTTTTTTCTTTAACCCACATTATTTAATCTTTTCCATCTCTTTGCAGAGTGGTGGGGCCCACAGGAGGATTCATGCACTATATTGGGCTGTCCTCTCAATTTTCACAAACAAATTGATAAAAATGTGTTGTATTTTCTAAAAAAAGAATGAGAAAAATTAATAAGAAATATTGTCTCCATCACCACTAACGGGCAACAGTGTTAGACCCCCAACGATTCCATTGAACCACCATCTGAATGTCAATCTGCCTCATTCATTTAAGCTCAACAGACATCTGTCGCCATTGCTGAATTGCAAAAAATCAAAAACATATGCAGTCACATTGTATTTTTTAACTCTTTGCCATCGCCTTGGCAGCATCCATATTGGAGAGAAAATACCTCCTCCTACAATGCCTCAGATCCCAAATGCTTTTGTTTCTGTCCTCCAAAATTTCGGTATGTTTTACCATCTCACTTGACGGCAGTGCATTAAAACTGCAAGAGCAAATTATGCTACCGGTTTATCAAGGACCTTTCTGCTCTAGCAGTCTATATAGCCCAAGCATACCACAAACACACATCACATACACACGTGCCAACTGAAGATGGAGATATATGCAGGATTCAAAGTCAGAAGTTTTCATTTCAACCACTTAAGATACCAAATTAATTAGTAAAAGGAATTTGAACACATTGATTTGTACATAGTTTACATGGTACATACACAATGTGCACATAAAAATAGGAAAACTTTTGCACAGAGGCATCTTCTCATGCCTAATCTTACTGGTTTCTATGGAAACAGCAGGCTGGGCTGAGGAATGGCCCATTCCGGTCATGCATACACATGAATGAAAGGATGGATGAATGAATCAATGGCCTGTCTGTTCCTCCAACTGTCTCTTGGACAAGGAGCATTTAGGCCTAAGGGGAAGTAGTGGCATGGCAGTAACAGATGAGGCTCAGTGGTTAAGTTCATCAGAGATGCATGTCTTAAATGTCCAATAAAAGTGATGGTTGAAACAAAAATATAGTTTAAGTTCTGACTGAGTTCCTTTTTGATGTCGTGATGGAACTAAAATGACTTGTGTTCAATGGTCAGCAGGCTCATGACCTGACTCACACATGTCCTGGTGGAGACTCCTCTTGCTCATTTCCATGAACATTGCATTAAAGTATCTCCAGTGAGATTATTTGTTTCGCTTGAAACGTTCTATGTGCAAGGATATATGCAACTGATGTGCCACTTCCAGGAAGTTTAAGTGTTTTAGGATTTGTGGTATTTATTTAAGTTTCTTAAATGTGTATATTGAAAGTGTTTTTGGAATAACGTTTAAATTGGTACGATTCTGTCCAGATCACTATGTTGAATCCCCTTGGACAAGGTGGTTTAAAAAAATGTTTGATCGCAAACAAGAAGCATACATAGAAAAATCAGTCAAATTGAAAGCAGTATTCGTCATAGAAAATTCAATGACCACCTGACATATAGATGTGCCAACAATCCAGGGAAAATACAACTCGGGAGATATCAGGAGAACATGTCTCTGTGCAGCATTAGTGTGGATGAGCTGCAGGAGCCGTGTTTGTCCACTGGAGGTCAGTGGTGTACTCCCAAAAACAAGGCATAAAGATGGACCGACAAAGTGAACAGTGGTTGTCATATCAAGGCAAAATTATGTTGTGGCTTCAACAGGAAAGTGCTCAGGAAAGTGCTTTGGAACAAGGTCCTTACTATGAAAACTGCACCAAGCATTTACATTCAAACCAAGATGGTACATGAGAAACAGAACAAATATCTCCCAAACACAAGCAGAAGTGGTTTTACGTACAAGCCCATACACACAAGGCCATCCAGTGTGACAAATTAATTGATCTGATCAACAGCAACATGTTGTGTTGTAAAGGTTTAGTTTTGTTTTTCAAAACCTGGGAGAGTACACACCGCAAATCACGGAAAGCCAACTTGTGTGTGTGTGTGTGTGTGTGTGTGTGAGTGAGTACCCATAATGCTGTGCTCCAACCTGCTGCTCTGACATATCCAGTCAGTTGACATTTCTTTTTGGCATACCGCCTCATCTGTCTGTCTTGTGTGCATGCATGAAGAATTGCTAGATAGGAATGTACGCGACGCCAAGGAGGACAGAACATTCCATTGAGTGAGCAAATTTTCTTGCCTGAATCCACAGTTTGGTGGTGCAATGAAAACAAAAATGTCCACTATCCACTTCATGTTCTTGAGCCCACTGACATCGCCTTCACAAAAAAGGTGTTCCGGACACCAATGATCCACGCAAACTTAGAGGCTCAGGGTTCAAAGTTGAATGTTTTGGAGGTACACTGGCCAGCTAGTTTATGAATGGTGAAAACATCTTTTTCTCTCTTTTTTACTCCCCTCTTGAAGTCCTTTTTTGCAGTTCCTGGCAAAATCTCTTTTTTGTTTACATAGATTCTCTATAAGGCAAGGAACGCATAAAGTGAGAGACAAAGGGGCAAAGTAGAGAGGAGGAGAATGATCCTCCACAATCACAAGTCTATTCCCCTTTCTGCATTGTGCGAGCGTCACAGAATTTGCACTTCTTAAACATACAGCAACTTACTTAGCATTTCTTTCTCCTTTAATTTCCTTAAAACATTTGAATCATTCCCATGTTATACCCTTTCCCTTGATCTCTTGGTTCACAGCGTGTGTTGTTCCGCAGGGGAGTGGTGGTGGGGGTGGAGGGCAGGCGGCAGGAGAGATGGTATTGGAGATTGGGGTGTGGCAGGTGGGGAGTTCTGTGGGGACTGGTGTAGACCGTGGTGATGATGATGATGATGGTGGTGGTGAATGGGTGGACCGTAATGCGGGATGACCGGTGGAGTTGCGGGCATGACGTAGGGTGCGGGGGAAGGCGTAGGAGAGGAAGAGTAAACCGCGGCCATGCAAGAGTAGGCAGAGGTTCCTCCCCCAGAGCTGGAGGTGGGAGACCTGGGCAAGTCGGCCAGCGGCTGATTGTAGAAGAAGTAGGAGCATTGTTGGATGAAGCTCTCGATGATTGTCTGGTAGGTGCGTGTGGCGGTCAGAGCGTCCATGGTTGTGAAGTCCGGTCGCATCAGCGTGGGCCAAAAGCAGATGGACAGGTTCTCACTTGTCATTAGATTCAACTTACTCTGCTGGCTCACCCTGAGAAGAAAGAGGAAATATGAGCAAGCATGCCCTCATCTTAACTTTAACGCAAATACTGTAGTTATTATGCTCAACAGATGTGCGTGTTATTCATACACACTATAATATGTTTCTTGCAGTTCTACACTGGCTGTATTCATAGATCCACTCATTAGATCAAATTACATGATCTTTTTTCCCTCCACACTGCAGTTGTGATGTTTAAAGCACATAAAAACATGCTGCCTCGGCGTATCCAGGGAGAGTCCCATATGACCTCAGAGAGAAAATGTGAGTAGTTGTAACTAGTTTGAACAGTAGATGTGGAGAAATGGTGGATAAAATAAAGACTTTAACAAACACAGTAAGAAAATAACAAATGATATATTGTCATTTTCATTTGCTGTATGATTGTTTAATTGTGTAATATGAGAAACCCTAAATCTACACTAAGTGGAAGAAAACGACACCACAAGAGCTAAATAAAAGCTATGAATAAAATAGTGAAGTAAACATTTATTGTACAGATTGAATGAGTCAAGCTGAATAAGCTCCCTGTTGAGCTGACAGTGCGGGTGATGTCACCTCTGGGTGACTTGACCGTGTGACTCCACATCTGCATGTAGGAGGGGGATACTCACTTGTATAAGTGGCTGACGACATATTTGAAGACCTCATAGTTCTCTCTGGGGAAACGCCGCAGAATGTCCTTCATCGTCTGAAAGCGCTGCTCTCTATCGTTCATTTCTACACGAACATAGGGCGAGGTGCAGAGTTAGAGCAAAAATGACAACAGCAGGTTTCTGATGCTTAACCCACAAGTATGTAGTTATTAAGATTGTAGAAAGAGAAGCAAAGGACTGCTTCTAAAATGACAGACTCATGAAGCATACAGCCTTAGCAGAATCCCTCAGATTACAGAACTCTTAAACAAAACACACAGGGTGTGTTCGGGTTGATGGCAGCTCGCAGTGAGTCAGAAAACTGACGTCACCAGCTCCACAGTCCATCCTGTGTGAGACTGGGCCAGAGCATCAGTGAGAGCATATATATTACAAACATATTTTACAATCACAAATTCTAGCAATGTATTCTCAGGATGAGGTCAGGCTGAATCAAAAACACATGTAGCTCAGAATGATGTACAACTGTTCCTTTGGCACACGCGAATCAAGTCATAATCTGAGTCTTGTTTTGATAAATTTTAACAAAACGTTTTTATAATAAACCGTCCTCCGAGGTGCAAAATGAAAGCCCACATTAAGCAGAGCAACAACTGTCCTTCAGTCTTCCATTCCCCTGTTTAGAGGCACTCTCTGCTTTATCAAGTCTGTCATGGCTGAAGGGTCATTGAAGACACACACATATACATATTTATGCAGAGCCAGAAGAGTCTAGTCTTGTGTGCGCTCAGCCAGAGGCGCACTTGAGCGATGCATTAAATCTCAATTCCAACAGATTACAGCACATAGTTGCCATTTTCTATTTGACCTATCTCACACATATGGTTTATTGATGGAATATCTAGAGCCATTGTGGATCAGTCCATACTGCAAACTCCTGACTGCTCTTTCTTGCATACAATTCAACACTTTCAACTGGCTTGGTAAGTAGAAAATCCAATCCCCCCATGCATAGATTTGTGGACTTGTGAAGTGCAAGAGTTTTGCTTGTTACAGAACATTTCAATGCAAGAAAAGTTATTCAGGCCTGATCCTTCCCATAAAACCACAAAAATGAGATTGCTTCTGGGTTCTTTAATCAAATGAAATAAATTATAGAATCCAGTGCTCATCAAAATCCACTCCTTTTCAGGTTCACTAAAAGCTAGCTTCTTGCAGAGAACTGTCCCCCTCAGAATGACCCTTTTCCTAACTCTGGGACTTACTGAAGGCATCCACCAGATCTGCCTGCATGCTGTAGGGCACCAGTGGGTCAGGCAGCTCAGAGAAAAAGGCTTTCATGGCTCCTGCCACTGTGTTGATGCTGAAGTCCTTCTCTACCAGGTCCAGGTTATAGTCTGCAGAAATACACATAAAGACAAAATAATTATCAGATTAAGAAGAATAAGGGACAAAACCAATAACAAAATAAAATACCACATTATTGAAAACTGTGACATGTTATACACAAAAGCTGGTAAAATAAATGGTGAACAAATTACATTTAATCAGTGTGTGGGGAAACTTGAGTTTAGACTTTCAGGAGAAATAATTGATGCATTAAGGTGAAATGCTGCACAAGAGCCCTTTATATTCTGTATTTTCCGTTTGCTGTAGCATGTCTCGGGACAGTTTTCTCCCTAATGAGCCTTTGAATCATCAGGGAGGTGCCGCTGCCATCTTTACATTCAGACACCTCTACTGTAGTAATTGTCTTGTTCCATGTGCATCGAGTTTGGAACCATTCAAAATGGGGCTTCGCTTCTGATTACCTGAATATGATCTAACATCATCCAGGCGTGGACACACCCCCACACACACACACACACACACACACGCACGACATTTTGCACCGATATCCATCTCACTGCCGCCACGCTTCATTAACCAAACCAATCTGAAGGTAATTAACTGGCCATAGACACAGACACTTGCTCCAATGCACTGGGAGCACTTGTACATGTACAGACACAAAAGAGGTTGTGCACCAAATTGAGGAAGCATTGCAGCAAAAAAAAAAAAAAAAAAAACAAAAAAAAAACATACAGATAATCCAAAAAAGGAAAAGGGTATATCAGAAATGTTTTGTTATAAAAAAACAAAAATGAATGACAAACAAACCGTGATCAAATTGCCGCTGCATGCTCTCCATCTCAGCCTTGTTCCCGCTGACCCTGTAGATGCCCTCTGTGTTCAAGCCTGTGGGAAGAAGCAAATCACACGTCAGATAATCATTTTTAGTGATTACGTATTCTTAAAACCATGACAACGCATATTGCTGCATAGGCATTTTTATGAACATGGAGTGGGTTTAGCTGACAGGGCAGGTTGTCTGACAAAGAATACTACTTAGATAAAGATGGCAAAATGGATTTATTTGATAAGGACAGTGCACATCTGTGAGTGTAAATACTGTATTCTTGAATTTAGCAAATGCTTGGCTCCTGCTGTTCCCTCGGTCACACAGAAGACAAAACAAAGGATCGAGGTGCCATTGAGAATATAGCAAAGTGAAGAGAGTGGACCATGTTGCCAATATGGTGAAAAACAACTAGTGGGGTTTGAGACGGAGCAAAAGGTGTATACAAAGGAAAGGATTTACTTTGTCAACCTCTGAACAAAAAGGAAGTGCAAACTACAGTAAGACTGAATACTGACTTGAAGGCCATTGTTATAGTGCTCCACTGTATCCTGCTATGAACACACCATCAAGACTATTTACTTAAGTAATACTGCTGTTGAGAGGCCACTTGAGAAAGGTGAAAAGAAAAACTTAGTAACAGATATTCTTGGTTGAAGCTTCTCTATTACTCTCCCAACAAAGACCAAGAAAGACCTCGGACGAGTAGTAGAGGACGAGGCACACTTTATATCAAGGAAAAGCAAATCATTGGCCCAGTCGTATTAAACTTATAGAGCACTATTGCTATAAATGGAAAAAATGAAATAAGAATAGCATCTGTAAGAAAACATGTTCCAGGAAATGATGGAAACTCATTGATATAAAACGTAAGTAAAACAACTTGATAATGCCTTTTCTTTAAAATGAACATTGCACATTCTGGTAATGTATTATGGTAATATCTGGTAACACTATGATTAAATTATGGCTAGGGATGCACCGATCCAGCTTTTTTACTACCAATACCAGAGCTATGAGTATCTGCCAATAACAATATTTACAGATACCGGAAATGATCACACTAAAATGTATTCAAATAATGTAACTATTATTCAAGTAACTGCAAAAGCAGTGGATGAACTTAAGTGCTAACATTCCACATAAAAATAGATTAAACAGGAATGTGCTGCAAGTATCTCAGTATCTGCTCAATGCTCACATGAAACTTTCCAACATTTTTTGAATATAAAATTCACTAATATTAAATGTTTAAAATAAAAATAACAAAACAACACGCTCAATTAAAATGTAAATAAATGATAGCACCTGTAGCCTCAACTGAGGATAGTCACAAAATATTCTCTCAGTAAACATCTTAAGTCCAGATATCTGTAGTAAAGCTCAGTTTTTTTGCACCTTTTATCTGATCTGATAGGTCTCCGCTGATCTTGTAATATTCAGGCAAAGCGGTTTCAGACATGTATTTGTGTGACGGCATGATGTCATCTACATGCTCTTTCACGTGGTGCTTCACTAAATGCTTTATTAAATTTGTTGTGTTGTATTTTGCCAGTTTACCGCCGCCTCTCGAAACATCACATTTGCATCTATTGCATGAAGCTGTTTGAGTCTTTGGTGAAGGTAATTTTAAAAAGGCCACACAGCTGATTCATTCGTGCGCTCCATGCTTGGCGTGTTGTCGTTGCAGAGTGTCATGAGGAAGTGACGTGAACGCGTGAGATCTGATTTGGATCTGATAAATTACTTTATTTTATACGTATATTATGCACAATTTATTTTAAGACATTGTGCTGTACCTGGTATGTTTGTTTAAAAAGACAAAAGAGTGAAAGACAACAAGCGAGTGAAATACTATAATGGGAAAAGAATATTTCACACTGAGTCCTGATGAAGACTATGAAGTTGAGGTCACACAACAGCAATTATTAAGGTAAATAATGGTTAATAACACAATTCCTGTAAGCTTATTAAAAGCTGACCCTTTTCTGTATCTGCTGCTATTTTGAAAAAGATTAAATATTTGTAAACATATTAAACTGCGTATGTTTTACCGTCACATCCTTGAACATAGCAAGATTATATATATATATATATAATCTTGCTATATATATATATAAATAATATATATATATATATATATATATATATATATATATATATATATATATATAATCTTGCTATATATATATATATATATATATATTTAGCAGAACACGGGTAGTAGAGATTTTTGCATGATAATACAACTGCTGCACAAGACATTTGAACACTGGTAAGAAAAGCAATTTTATATTTTCAAAATCAACACAATGTTTAGAAAGACATTTGTCGAGCTATTGTTGTATTGTTTGGCTACATAATATTACAAAAATAACACTTGAACACAATCCACTGGAAGCCACAAAATCACATCTAAGCAACACATTCCCAGAAGCTGTGTGTGATCCTGTGTTCATTCATTAATACACTTTTCAATTTAAGAAGTGTCCTGAGGTTCTCCAGCAAAACATTAGCGATTGAGGGAGACAAAGCATGATCCTGGGGGACTTGGACAGATAGGGAGTGGCAGAGAGAGCTGTGGAGGAAATGAGAGCGCTCTGAGAGAAGGCATACAGCATCGATCTCCTCTTTCTGCCAATCAATTATCCACAAAAGCTTTTCAAGGCAGACAGGGAAAAGTGGGATTGGAGGAGAGATAGGCAGTGTTGTGGATCAGTGCAGAGAGGCAGAGTTTAGGAGATGGGGGTAAAGCAGCACAAGGCGATGGGAGATATGGGGAAGCTTGTGGACATGCACCAGCCAGTGTCACGCTGTTGGAAGAGACAATGAGAAAAATTAAAGGATAAAGATAAGGTGAGATTCAGAGCGAGATAACTTTAAAAATAAATTACCGGAGCTTCCCAAACAAAGATCAAATTAAATGTGGCCAAAGGACAAGTCTGCCTTTTAATCAAAGCTGGAGTACCTAACTTCAAAACACAAAAATAACTGTAATACACTCCATGTAGCACCTAGTTAAAAAAAAAAAAAAAAAAACAGTATGTGTTTTGGAAATCTGTCACATCTTTAAGTCAGCTTTTTCTGTGAAAAAGAATACCAACCCTTATTATGCAAAAGATCAATGTTTCCAATAAGAGAAAAAAACAAGAACTTCTATTGGGACAGAAAAAAATGCAGGTACAACTTTAGATGTATTATCTAAATAAAATATATATTGTTTTAAAATGGCTAATAATAATAATAATAATGCATCGGTTTTATACAGCGCTTTTTTGGACACTCAAAGACGCTTTACATGTCATTCATTCACTCCATACACGGTGGTGATAAACTATTACTGTAGCCACAGCTGCCCTGGGCCACACTGACAGAAGCGAGGCAACCAGTATGTGCCATCGGCCCCTCCGACCACCACCAACCATTCACACACACACTAGACTTATTCTAGGCAATGGGGGTGAAGTGTCTTGCCTAAGGACACAGCGGCAGTTTGGTACTTTACAGCCGCAGCCGCCCCACTGTGGCATCAGGTGATCCCAGAGGTTAAGTGTCTTGCCAAGGACACAACGACAGCAGACAGAGGGAGTCCGTGGAGAAAGTCTTGTGGTGGGCTCGAACCCACGACCTTCAGGCTCAAAGGCCGATGCTCTACCAACTGAGCTACTGTCGCCTTGAGACACATTACAGGATTATTTGGTATGCCAAAGGAGTCAAAATGTTTCAATGCTGAAATGTCTGATATTTTTAAGATCACCTGAGCAAGGTATCATGCATGTCATATACGTTTTACAGACCCAGCGTGTACCCGTTACAGACCCAGTGTACACCCGTTACAGACCCAGTGTAATTGACATTATACAGTATATAGGAAATGTTCTCCATAGTAAACCTGGGAATGGGCTGGTCTGCACAGCTTGACAGCACAGAGCAATGCCGTTCGTAACATGTTACAGTGAGACAAAACTCCAGCTGATCCCACATCAGCCCTGAGCTCAGCGTCTCTGTGGGGGCAGCAGCCCCCGGCTTATTTAATAGCTCCCCATGGAGACAGTGAGGCAGTGGCTGGGTGCTGCCCTTTGCGTCGCTATGGAAGTGCATACAGCCAGTAAATATGCACGCACACGCTCACACACTTTCAACACTCAAGCCGCTGAGAGATAACAGCAGTCACTATAGATTGATTTTATATAGCTGTTTCTCTACAGGCCTGAATGGATGAAAATAACACAAAAAAGCAAATCCTCTCATTATTCTCAAGGACAAAAGGAGTCTGCTACAGCACAGATACGACCAACAAAGAAATCGCAAGGTTGAATAGAATATAAAATTGTGTGTGCAAGGCTACTTCAGAGCAGCTCTAAATGTTTCATTATAGCTCTGACTGCCTGCTGCAACTCATGTTGGAATTCAGCACAGGCTAATTGACAAACTTAACCAATTCCTATGTAGGGGATGATTGCATTTTTAGCCTTGCATTGCACTAAGCATTCACAGATTGACAAAACATACTGACATTTATAATAATGATTGATTAAATTTAATTCATGCATTTTTATGCAATTTTCAATAGACATTTTAAATTAATTCAGCCAACTCCCAATGAGATACTAGACAAACTGTATGTGTGGGAAAAATGTCTTATTGAATCATCCACAGCCATGCAAACACAGATAGCTTAAGACAGATCAGGAGAAACACTGAGGCCTGCATTCCTTCTATTTCCTCCTGTGAGATCGATCACAAGGGTCTATGAGCCAGAAGACCATTAGCTGGTCGGCTCCTGGCAAAGAGAGACGTGAAAAAAGTATAGGGACATATGAGAGATAAAAGATAACAGTGTGGTGGATGATGAAGAGACGAAGAAGGGGAAAGACATATGTAGGAGAGGAAGATGAAAGAAATCAAAACTGACAAGTGAAGATACTCGGAGCGCACAGGTGAAAGAAAAGCAGGAAGACGCGAGGACAAGTGAATAGACAAGAGCTGGGTATCTTTTAGAGTTTGCTGATACGACACAAAGATACAGGGACTTTATATTAGATTTTTTAATTTCTAAGGATTTTTAAACAAATCTGAAAAATAAAGGCTTTTGGCTGGTGTCCAATGATTAACCACGTAAAACAAAACAAAAAATATTTGCGCATTTATCTTCCATTTATTGAACATTCATGGAAGTAAAGTGCCAACTGTTTAGTGCATGTTACAGTTGCACTGGTCTAAAGCAAGGACATGATGGTGCAGCTGAAGGGGGGGAATATTGATGTTACAAAATAAAAAAATTCTACCTCATCTATTCAAAATATAGATATTCCTAACAGAGGAACGTACTTTAGAACAGTTTAAAGATAATTCTAACGTCTTCATGAAAGTGATGGGTTCTCAGATAAAGTTTCATGTATTTGCCTTTTGACACATTGTTTAAATAATCAACTCAGTCAATCAGCCAAAAAACGTTGAAAATTCACTCACAAACTCTTGAAATAGGCCATTATCCTAAAGGGGTATATTACATGATCCATGGTGAAAGACTTTCTACCATAAGCGGCCAGCATCATGTGGGGACAACCAAGACCAACAAAAAAAAAGAAATTACTTGGCCTTAAGATGGTTGTGATAATCAAAATTGGAACTGGAACTAGATTTCCAGTGAGCAAAAACAATGCAATAAAGTTAGTGTGCTCTCAATGCAACTTTTGACATGATCGGATGTAAAAGTGTTGACTCTGGTTGTGGTGAAACAGCTGGTGGCGGAGACCAGAAGTGCCCTATGGTGGGGGCTGCATCTGGAGAACAGACTAACAAGGTTAAGAGAGCTGAGCTAACCACATCTGTGCTGATATTAGTCTACAAAGAGAAAGGAGGGAAAGATTCTTGTTGTCCTCCTAAATTATTGAAAACCCTTAAAGAAATGATATGCTCCAAAACATGGAGCTAAAAGAGTTGAGTAGTGACCTATGCAGAGATACTATCACACAAAAGCCTGACCCTGGTAGTGCTTTTTACCTTCTCCTTTTGGCCACAAAATGTGTTTCTTTTATGAAGGACAGAACATTTTTTGTACCTTATGTTGCTCAAACTAATATACAATAAAATGTTATGGTTTTACCACTGAATACAGTGATCAAAATGTAGCACAAAAATAGACTGTTTAGAAGAAAACAACAAAAGAGTGATTTGTGGTTGTATATTTTCTGATATTCTGAGATTATAGATACAAGACCAGTTCATCAAATAAGTGGTATATACAGTGCCTTGCGAAAGTATTCGGCCCCCTCGAACCTTTCAACATTTCGCCATATTTCAGTCTTCAAACAAAGATATAAAATTTTAATTTTTTGTCATGAATCAACAACAAGTGGGACACAATCGTGAAGTGGAATGAAATTTGTTGGATAATTTAAACTTTTTTAACAAATAAAAAACTGAAAAGAGGGGCGTGCAATATTATTCGGCCCCTTTACTTTCAGTGCAGCAAACTCAGTCCAGAAGTTCAGTGAGGATCTTTGAATGATCCAATGTTGTCCTAAATGACTGATGAAGATAAATAGAATGCACCTGTGTGTAATCAAGTCTCCGTATAAACGCACCTGCTCTTTGATAGTCTCAGGGTTCTGTTTAAAGCGCAGAGAGAACCATGAAGACAAAGGAACACACCAGACAGGTCCGAGATACTGTTGTGGAGAAGTTTAAAGCCGGATTTGGATACAAAAAGATTTCCCTAGCTTTAAACATCTCAAGGAGCACTGTGCAAGCAATTATATTGAAAAGGAAGGCGTATCAGACCACTGCAAATCTACCAAGACCCGGCCGTCCCTCCAAACTTTCATCTCAAACAAGGAGAAGACTGATCAGAGATGCAGTCAAGAGGCCCATGATCACTCTGGATGAACTGCAGATAACTACAGCTGAAGTGGGGATGGTGTGTTCAGGGTGATTAGCTGTGTTGCTTTTACGCCAAACATATCGTTTTGCATTGTGGCCAAAAAGTTTGATTTGTTTCATCTGACCAGAGCACCTTCTTCCACATGTTTGGTGTGTCTCCCAGGTGGCTTGTGGCAAACTTTAAGAGACTTTTATTGGATATCTTTGAGAAATGGCCACTCTTCCATAAAGGCCAGATTGGTGCAGTGCACGACTGATTGTTGTCCTATGGACAGACTCTCCCACCTCAGCTGTAGTTATCTGCAGTTCATTCAAAGCGATCATGGGCCTCTTGGCTGCATCTCTGATCAGTCTTCTCCTTGTTTGAGATGAAAGTTTGGAGGGACGGCCGGGTCTTGGTAAATTTGCAGTGGTCTGATACTCCTTCCATTTCAATATAATTGCTTGCACAGTGCTCCTTGAGATGTTTAAAGCTTGGGAAATCTTTTTGTATCCAAATCCGGCTTTAAACTTCTCCACAACAGTATCTCGGACCTGCCTGGTGTGTTCCTTTGTCTTCATGGTTCTCTCTGCGCTTTAAACAGAACCCTGAGACTATCAAAGAGCAGGTGCATTTATACGGAGACTTGATTACACACAGGTGCATTCTATTTATCATCAGTCATTTAGGACAACATTGGATCATTCAAAGATCCTCACTGAACTTCTGGAGTGAGTTTGCTGCACTGAAAGTAAAGGGGCCGAATAATATTGCACGCCCCACTTTTCAGTTTTTTATTTGTTAAAAAAGTTTAAATCATCCAATAAATTTCGTTCCACTTCACGATTGTGTCCCACTTGTTGTTGATTCATGACAAAAAATTAAAATTTGATATCTTTATGTTTGAAGCCTGAAATGTGGCGAAATGTTGAAAAGTTCAAGGGGGCCGAATACTTTCGCAAGGCACTGTATGATGCAAGTATTTTGAGAAATGTAAGTACATACATGTGAAATGTCCATTTCAGAAAACCCAAAGAATGATAAAGATTGTATGGGAGACTAAACACCCAAAAACAGTATAGTATAGAATGTTTCTGCAACTTGTTCTACTAGAATATGGAAAAGTAGTGCAAGACTCACAATATAAAACATCTTACCTGTTGTTTCAATGAAATGAATGCACTTCTCAATGAAGACAGGGATAGGCCTCTCAAGAGTGACTACACTGGACAGGGGCATCCCAAAGTAGTTGCTTTCAATTGGTTTGGAAATAGAATGCCTTGGCTTGGCTCGTTGTTTCTGAAAAAGTAGGAACAAAGTCAAATTGTTAGTCAACAGAGGTTAACTATAACAATGCAAAATAAAAATAAAAGTACTTTTAGTTAAAAAAAAGTTCAGGTATCAGGGTTTGTTTTGATCCTCCCTCATGACACACAAACACACACAAACAATCTTAAACTGATAATCACACATTCCTGTCTTAATCCCTGCAAACAGATAAACATCATTTTCCTCATGACGCCTTAGCCATGCCCTACACATTCTTCTCGTGGCTCCATCTGCTGCTTGGCATCCAAGTCATTGTATAATTATTGGCTCAGTCTGTTAAGATACCTGTAATGTATAGCAGCAGCACTCTGTCTCAATAAGGCACCAGCAGTGGTTAAAGTATTGCATATTGATGGGGTTTAGTGAGAGTGTGTGAAGGCCACTGAGACCTGGATGTGTAGTAAGTCAGTCGGCCCCCAAGAGGCCCTTGGCAGGCAGTGGGTGAGGTTGGAGCATGCTTGGCTAGGCACACACAGACAGGGTGCAGACCAGAGCTAACAGACACAGAGTATTGCTCATTAGAGGAAAGCCCTGTGCGCCCACAGCTCCAAATACTGCCTCGGAGCATCTAACAAACATCCGCACCTCCATATTCTTTCTCGCCAAGGGAAACAAGCAAAGACTAAGACTGAGCACATATATACGCTCACCTGGAATTTTTGTTTTCTGCCTGAGGTTCTAAGAGATCAGGGAAGTGATTACCGTTTGCATTTCTTTAAAATGTAATAATATAGGCTGAATATTTCAGGAGTCTGAATACAATAGACAGCAATATAAGAGAAGTGTTTTGAGGACATCTGTATAGTATTAATTGTACACATTAATTTTCTTAGCTCCTCATCGCAAAAAGCTAGTGGCATACAAATGATATCTGCTGCTGAGAGCTCGACGTCCTTGACAAGCAGTTGGGAAATGTTTGTTGTTGCAGAATTTGTATACTTCCTCTCTACATGTGACTGGTATTTATTTCCCCCCTCTTTGCACAAAATTATTAATGACAAGACAGCATACGGCAATTGCTTGTTAAGGGCTGTGCTGTTTTTAGTTCTAAGTAGTTATTTATTTATCACATCCTGTCACACTGATTCTTGCATACTGTCCCTGAACTCCCCCTTTCCCTGCAGTTTATCCTTCTGGCCTCTCCTTGAGGATGTATGAGTCTGGGATAGGATACAGCATACTGTTAAAGACAAATCAGGCACATTTTAAAGAGATGTAGATGTCATATGTATGGGAGAATTCTTGCTTGGCGTTCACAGGCTTCCACAATCTTAAGGTGGCAATTGCTGCATTAAAAACTGGAGCTTATTTTGGCTCAAATGTCCGTTTTGTATGTGATACCTTCTTTTCTTCCCTTTTCTAATGACTTATACAAAGGGCAAGGAATCTTAAGCATTCCACTTTGGTGGCTGAGAAGGTTTGAAACATTTCCGGACTTTAGCTAAAGGAAGTAGGTGCAGGCACACATAGCCTGAGGGATAACCACATTTTAACATGGGGTCTTCTTTAAAGGACAGCAGCACCAAGCACACAGTGGAAACTAGCATTTTATTTTTACCTCATAATTCCCTGTGTTTACAACACTACAATTAAAGCAGGATTTTATTTAAAACAATTACAAATCCTAAATCATCTGAGCTTTACTTTGTTTTTCGTCATCAGGGGTGAGTTGATGTTGCGTCAAAACTATTAAGCAAAATACCCAGTAGCACTATTACAAACAGCAACAAATCCCTGTGAACAAAGAGTCCAGGATCAGGATCAGGTTTGACATTAATTTTGAGCCTCATGATATCAGATCATGCCATTTTCTATTTTTCATTAAAAGCCATAAGCCAAAGAGCAAAAAAGTTAAATATTTTCTCACTATTGTAAAGAAATGTATCTACAACTAATATAATACAGTGGGGCAAAAAAGTATTTAGTCAGCCACCAATTGTGCAAGTTCTCCCACTTAAAAAGATAAGGGAGGCCTGTAATTTTCATCATAGGTATACCTCAACCATGAGAGACAGAAAGAGGAAAAACAATTCACATTGTGTGATTATTAAAGAGCATTTGCAAATTGTGGTCGACAATACGTATTTGGTCACCTACTAGGGCTGGGCGATTAATCGATTTTAATCATTAATTCGAGTTTTACGTTTAGGGCGATTTCTTTTTTTAAAAATTCGATTTTTATTTTCTCCAGCGCAGAACTACAGCGCTAACGCGCTAACCGCGGGTCTATGGTGTTGAGCAGTCATTTTGAAGCTAACCTAATGCTAACAGTCTCCCTCTGGCCTGAGGCTCGCTCTCACAGTTGGTGCTGTTGCAATAACACTTCAAAAGTTCAAGAATCAGACTTTATTTAAATCGCCAGAACACACACACGCACGCAGGCTCCGGTCGCTATGTTCGTACGCCACATCTTTCACGCTCTCTCACGCTCGTTATTCCAAAGCGCACTCCCGTGTCCGTGGCGCGCACACACTCGTGTCCCACTGAGCCGCTGCACTTTGGGGAAAGACACGTCTCACACATTGTTCTCATTGCTCTGATACAAACAACGTGTTCCCCGCTGTCTGTTAGCTACAGTAGCTGCTAGCTACAGTAGCTGCTAGCTACAGTAGCTGCTAGCTACAGTAGCTGCTAGCTACAGTAGCTGCTACAGTAGCTGTTAGCTACAGTAGCTGTTAGCTACAGTAGCTGCTAGCTACAGTAGCTGCTAGCTACAGTAGCTGCTACAGTAGCTGCTAGCTACAGTAGCTGTTAGCTACAGTAGCTGTTAGCTACAGTAGCTGCTAGCTACAGTAGCTGTTAGCTACAGTAGCTGCTACAGTAGCTGTTAGCTACAGTAGCTGCTACAGTAGCTGTTAGCTACAGTAGCTGTTAGCTACAGTAGCTGCTACAGTAGCTGTTAGCTACAGTAGCTGCTACAGTAGCTGTTAGCTACAGTAGCTGCTACAGTAGCTGTTAGCTACAGTAGCTGCTACAGTAGCTGTTAGCTACAGTAGCTGCTACAGTAGCTGTTAGCTACAGCATCAGAATGTAAACAGGAAGCTCGCACAATGCGGGAGTCACTGAAGTTAGTATTAGCGCCACCAGCTGGACCGAGCGTTGTACTACAGCACAGTTTACTCAGGCACAGTTGAAAGAACAAGCATGAAAACCCGAGGAGGCTTTTGGAAAAGACTGTCTGTTACAACATTTCTATTTTGAGTAATCAGTTTTAAAAATGTGATATTTCATGTAAATAATGCATGTGTTTAATAGGATTGATATATTTGCGATGGGCCTTGTTTGTGTGATTTAAGTTATTTTGAAGGTGCATAGTGTCATTGTAAGTGAAGTTATTATAAAACTGTTAAGCTACATTTTCACTGTTTACAATGGCAGAGCCATCTCGTTTACAAGCATGTTTTAAGGCTTAATTCCTGTTACACTTATGCTCCATGGGGATTTAGATTAAACTGCATAAAGGAAAATCTATTTCTTTGTCAGTTGTAGTTTGTTTTTAAATAGAAAAAAATAAATCGATTAAAATCGAAAATCGGATTTGGTGTGAAAAAATCGGAGATTTTTTTTTTTTGCCATATCGCCCAGCCCTATTACCTACAAACAAGCAAGATTTGTGGCTCTCACAGACCTGTAACTTCTTTAAGAGGTTTTTCTGTCCTCCACTCGTTATCTTTATTTCATGTTTGAACTCGTTCTCTGTCACCTCGACACCTGTCCACAACCTCAAACACTCCAACTCCAAACTTCACTACGGCCAAGACCAAAGAGCTGTCAAAGGACACCAGAAACAAAATTGTAGAACTGCACCAAGACTGAATCTGCAATAGGTAAGCAGCTTGGTGTGAAGAAATCACCTGTGGGAGCAAATAATAGAAAATGG